GAACTTTTCTTTCAACTTTTTGTCTTTTCTGTGCGTTTTTTTTTTCTTTTTTTAGTTAACGATGCGCAGTATTTATACGATTTTAATGCCGCGAGCGGTCCAAAAGAAACTGAATCCTTGCGCTCGAGCCATCCACCACCCACTCAAATGGGGCGCTCATAAAACGGGGCACATAACAAATGATAGTCCCGGCCACGCCCATTGCTACTCCAGCCCACAAAAGCAAAAAAAAAAAAGACAGCACAATTAATGCATTAAAAAGGAGGACGAGGATGAGGAAGCAAAAGCGAAACATTTGCAAGGCCAATAAAAATGCCATTTAATGACGCCTGCAAATTTTCGAGCCTCAAATAATCAGCATAAAAATGAGCAAAAATGCTGAATATAAAATTAATTGAAATATCCCGCAGAGAGCGATGGCAAAGAGCCAGATGAAGGAACATTAAATATAAAACATTCCGGGAGTCAAATGCCAGGGATTTTCCAACAGCGATTGACAGGCGAATTGTGATTGCCATTGCGATTAAAACGCGAAGCGGTTCAAACCGATAATGAGCCAAACAGAAGCGAGGTGAACCGGTAAATGTTGCTCAATGGATTACGAGGGGGAATCCCTTGAATTGAATTATTTATGTGCTAAAGGCAATGACAGTCGGTTTGAGAACATTTCGAAATTAAATTCCAATAATTAAAAAATACTCAAAAATTAATAAACCAAAATTTAAGAGATAAGTTAACAATTAAAGTTTTCAAAAATTCTCTAAAATATCTTTAAGTTTATCCAACAAAAGGTTGTATTCTTGGAGGCCAAGGAAGAAAGCTCTCAAGACGACAAACCAATTAAGGCAAAGGACACAAAAGAGGAAATGGCAGGGGTATGAAATAAGAACGAGGCAATGGGAGAGCGGGGCAAAATGGAATGACGACTGAGCGAATCAGTTTCCCCATTCGGTCCAAGATGTCGCTCTGCCCAGCTTATTGGCTCAGTTGGAGGAAGTATGCCGGCATTTCCCTAGAACCCCCCCCAGTTCCGCCCACTCCTTATACACTCTAGACTCCAACGGCTGTCCATTCCTCCATCCATCCATCTCAATTTACTGCGTGAGACTTTTGTCAACGCACGGCGAGAAAATGAATGCCAGGAATTGCAGAGCCCAAACGGAAAAAAAGAATGACAGCGGAAAATGGAGAAAACGGGCGTAGTGGGGTGGGAATGGGTGGTTCGAAGGACCAACGAACTGGTAACAGACATTAGGCGGACCTTCAAATGTGTAAGCGAAAAAGGTATAGAAGAAGTGTTAGCAAACACTTAATAAACATATTTGTTTAGGCTTTTTAAATATTAAAGCGACTTTATTAAAAGTTTTAAATAAATCTTTAAATATATTTAAAATTATAGAAATAAATACATCTTAAATATAGATGGAAATTCCATTTACAAGTATTTTAAAACCATTTGTATATAAATATTATATAGATTACAAAACATTACAGTATATTATTACAATTATAATTATAATTATTATAAATAAAGACAGTTTGAAACCTATAATTTAATACAAGAACCGTTATCCTTTTGAATACTTGTACTTTTCTATATATAATAGGTATATATTTTATATACTTCTGATTTTTGTCTCCAGTGTAGGAGAAGTAGAAGCCCAACGAAACGGACACGGTAAAAAAAAGTGTTGCCCAAAAAAACAATTTATGCGGGTCTCTGCCGCTTTCTCCCGCTTTCGCTCACTTCCTTTCTCGCTTTCTCTTGTTGATAGCTGAGGCCACAGTGTTACACTTGTGTGCGTGTGCGTTAGGGTGTGTAAAAGGGGTGTGCGTATGTGTGTGTGTGTGTGTGGGCAAACATAAACAACAGTTACGCTCGAACAACGGGCAAAGTTGCATTTCCGCTGTAACCGTTTTCCGCACAGGAAATGCGTTCGACGCGTGTTTGAAATATTGGGCCCAAAAGTCTTCTCCCCTGGATTTTCCCCTGCAGGCTTTTCCTTGGTTTTTCACTCCTCCCCTTTTTTGCGGTCAACTTGCCTGGCCAGTGATTTTGCTGCCGGTCCGGTCCTTCGAAAAGCTTTCTCTCGCTCGCTCACCAAAAACCAGTTTTCATCTCATTTGAGCGAGCATTTAATGTTCAGCCTTCGCGGGCTGGAAAACTGCACCAGGAAATGATTCTTAATCCCCTCGATTTTCCACCCAAAAACCTTCTACGATCGCGGAAATGCCGTTGGGGGAAGGGGAAGGGGGCGGGGCAGTGAGTGTGTGTGAGTGGATTTTCCGCAAAACGGTTTTGTTGCTGCATCGCAAATCATGCGTAATGGAATTGAAGTCGCAAAAAATTGTTGGCCACTGTTTGCGACAGATTAAATTCGATACAAACAATACGCGGAAAATAAAAGGCATTAAATAGTTTACACCTTTACAGGATATTGGGTAATTACGATAACAAGGTGGACAAATATTTATTTAGGTGATTAAAAAAAACGATAGGTATTTAAAATGAGAATAAGAAACACAAATTTCTGCTGACTAAAAATACTTTCAGAATGTCTTTCATAATATTTTTTATTGAGTCATAAGGTAAACGGAAAATGGGGACTCTTTTAATCTGTTTATAACTATAAATAAGTGAAAAATTGTTTTAAATCGGACCATTCATTAAAAAGTTATGAGCATTAAAGTTTGCGAGCGAGCAAGCAGTGCAAGCAGTCATTCTGCTGCTTGTATATCTCCATCTCCTTCGCTCTCCCTTTTCGCTGAGTATCTGATAGTCGAGGTATTCGACTATAGCGTTCTCCCTTGTTTCTCAATAAACAAAACAACAAACAAGATTCATGAATACCCAATCGATTCACCTTGATTGCCATTCAACTTGCGTATGTGCTCTCAGCATATTCTCACCTTGGCCAACTGCGATTTTTGATTCATTCCCTTTGTTTTTTGTGCCATGCCAAAGTTCGCCCCTTGGCCGAGATTCCACCTGTCCAAAAGGAGGTGTCTAAAGGGGCCACGCCCATTTTCGCACCTGGGCCACGCCCCCTGACTCACTCAGCCGCCCACTTGCATACGAAATGCGCAACACATTGGCTGCACTTGAACTGAATTCCCAGCGCTTCTTGTTGTTTTTCCGCCCTTTGTTTTCCCGGCCCTTGTCTAAGCCACTTGACGGCCTTTTGACCGCCTTCCTTTTCGGAAGAGAAAACTGTGAGGAAAATTGCCGGAAAAGCGGGGATGCGAGTGGGTTTGAGCTGCTGAATAAAAAACAAAAGTGAGGCGCCTTCAAATATGATGTCCTTGTGTCCTTGGCAGCATTCTTAATTGCCGCAACTTTGTTTTTTTTACCCGCCCTCCGGCGTTTTCTTTCGCATTCACTTAAAATGGTATCCATGTTGCAAAAGCCTTCTGGATTTCTTAATTATTTTTAAACGATTTTATTTACTTTTACGAGATATTATTTTAAAGCTATAAATTTGTGAAAGTGAAGAGGAAGTTGTGTGATAAATCGTGAAGTGCCAAAGTTTATTGCAGAAATTAAATGTTATTAAAAATGATAAATAATAAAAAACAAATGTTTGAAATAAAATCAATATTTTCAAAGCTAATAAAACTATAACAAATCAGTAGTACCAATTATAAAGTCAGAAGCGTTCTTTACTTTTATTTATTTCTACAATTTAGTGCCTCGAAAGCCTGAATGTCTCTTTTCTTTTGGGCAATTAGACCGGTATACAACCTTTTTTTTTTTACTATGTTTGCCTTTCGAGAGAAACGGCTAATGATCGGCTTCAGTTTTTCACGTTAATTGTTGGGCAACCTCGGCGAATCGAAGTGAAAACTAAACAAATTCCACGCTCTCGTGCTTTTCAATCAAAGCGAACTTCAATCGACGATGACAGAGTTGCTGATGATGGGGCCTAAGCCGCTTAGGCTTTTGCCCATGGAAACACCCATCGGACCACCCACCAATTGAACCACCCACTTGGCCGCAAAACAGACACATAAACCAACCCCAACCAACGCCCTCTCACCCATCAGTTTTTGGCATTTTGGCAAAAGCGATTAATTTCGAGTAATTGCAACTTAATGAAAAGCATTCAATTGTGCAAATTAATGGGAATGTCTTCAGCATTCTGATTCCCAGACATCCGTGTGTATTTTAGTGCCTGTTAATTAATGCTTTGATGAACCGCACTCAACTGTTTCTATTTCCACCTGCAAAAGGCCCAAAGTCCCGGGATTCCCAATTGCCAAACCAAACCGAACCGAACCAAACCGATTTTCATCTGCGGCACTTGCGGATTTTGCCCGGAATTGTAAGCGATTGCCATGGCCATCGAGGCGGAATACCAAATCGGTTTATCGTAAATGTATCTATTTGCCTATTTTGGCAGAAAATTATGTCAAGGAATTCGGAATGTACAGCCAAATGGCTTAAGGTTTAGCATTTGTGAAGCTCAAACAAAAATTGCATCAAGCCAATTGAATGCCGAAATGTTTATGGTGCAATGAACCCAAAGTTGAGAAATGTTTATGTACGTTAAATTAAGACAATTATTTGTTTATTCGTTGATTTTTCTTATCCAAAAATAAATTGATATGAGACGATGATCGATTTGAGGTTAAGTGGTATCGATTTTGACTTGATATGCGGACACCTCAATTCGATATGCTCGAAATGTAAGCACTCATGTAAATTTGAGCGCTATCTCGCTCTATTTCGAATTGAGAGAGCTTGTACTTCTTGCCCTTCTTCTCTTTTTCGAAGTCAGAAAATTTTCATAAGAGAGATTTCGGTAAAAACGATATTGCATACCACTAATTTACCATGCGCATATCGATTTGACAATGAAAAAAAGGAAAAGTAATGTATGAAAATCCCCAAAAAGTTGGTTAGTTTAACCCCTCGTTCAATAAACATAATTATAAAATATAAAAAAATAGAAAATTAATATAAATTTTCTTCTTAAATCCGCAGCTTGATTGATTGATTGACCTGCGAGGCAAGGACCGGGCAAAACAGCGACCAAATGCAAGATGAATCCGGATCAACCGATGCCAATTCAAACCGGGGCGCCGCCTCCGCCCCCCTCGCAGCTGACCGCCCACACAATCGCCGTGTCCGCCGTCACCGCTGCCCCGCCCACCTGCTCCATGGCCGCCCATTATGGCGGCGGAATGGGCATTCCGCCCACATCGTCCGGCGGCGGTACGGCCGGCAACTATGTGTCCATCGGCATCCTGCCCAGCATGTCGCCCGCCCAGCTGCCCCCGCTCCTTCTGTCCGCTCCGCCCCCCGCGACGACGACCTTCAAGACCACGCCCCTTCTGCCCATGCCCACGCTCGAGGATATTGAGGTGGCCAACCAGACGGGTGGCCAGAGCGGTCAGGTAAGTTGTCTTTGGGAAATACATAGCATTAAAGGCTATAGCAAAACAGTTGAGCTTGAAAATTATCGATATTTTCGATATTTTCACAATATAAATGTTTTATAGGAAAAATACCAAATTAAATACGGAGAAAAAGGAAACTGTTGATATTTTTCAAAGCTCTCCTACACAGTAGAGCTTGAAAATTATCGATATTTTCGATATTTTGACAATATTCATGTTTTATAGGGAAAACACAAATGAAATATCGAGAAAAAGCAAGCTCATCTACACAGACAGTGGTGTCTAGAACTTGAAAATTATCGATATTTTCGATATTTACACCATATCGATGTTTTTATAATTTGTTTCTTACTTTTCCAGGTGGTCGTATCCATGGCTCAAACTTCAATGGCGCCACAGGGCATTTTAAAGTACCCCACGGCGGGCTATGTGAGCGACTTGATGGCACCGCCGCCCAACCTGTCGCTCCCCCTACCCCTGCAGCTGCCCCACCCCCCGCCGCCGCTGACCTCGATGGCCAGCAGTACCGCCGGCAGCAACAACAGCAACATTAGCAGCAGCAACATGAGCAACAGCAACAACAGCAGCAATTGCGGTACGCTGAAGAGCAATGCGAAGCTGTTGCCGCTCCAGCTGATGGCCACGCCCCCCAGCCGCAAGGAGCCGCTGACGCCCGCCCATCCGCAGGCGGCTTCGATTCAGGCCCAGGCTCAGGTGCAACACCAATTGCAGCAGCAGCACCAACAGCAGCAGCAGCAGCAACAGCAACATCAGCAACAGCGGCAACGCAAGCGGCAAGGATGGTGTTCATGCTTCGGCTCGGGGGATGGTGGCGCCACGGGGGGCGGCGGCACTGGTGGCCCGGGGGAAACCGGAAAGACGCCACCCGGATACGGAAGCAAGGAGAAGAAGAAGAGCCGCAAGGCCACCTCCCAAACAGTGTGGTCCGCCCTGCTCACAAACCTGGGCATCTGCATGCTTCTGCTCGCCTACACACTGCTGGGTAAGCAAATCAAATCCAAATTAAGTTAGCCTAATTAATTCAATAAATTAACAAACGAATTTAATTCAAATAGTTGTTGCCTGCGACGAGAACTTAATTTGATTTATTTTTCAATTTTAAAGTGGCATTGGGTGAAGTTTGCTCGCTTTTTATGCAGTAAATGAAATATTGAAGAAAAATGAGTCGGAATTTTAGAGGTAGAAGTAACATAACTTGTGGATTTTTATAATATAAAAATATATAATAATTATTTAAGGATATAAATAAATAATATTTCAAGTACTATACAATAAATAAAAAAACATTTCTGTGCAGCTTATTTTGATTGGCTTTACTTATAATTATTTAGAAATAATTATTTGGAAAAATAATATTTCAGCCAGGTTTATTACGAATTATAACTTTCTGTACTTATAATTATTTAGAAATATATATTTGAAAAAATTATATTTAAGAGAAGTATATTAAGAATTAAAACTAATAAGCTTTTAATAGATAAAGATTTAATTTTTAAGAAAAAGATAAATCAGAATTTTTCTAGAAACATATCATTCTATGAGATATTTTTATTACCTAGTTTTCTTTCCGTTTTTAATGAGTGTATGTGGCTTTTCTGGCGTGCATGTGATTTTCTTTTAATTGTATTTGAGCAGTTTTGAGCACCCCTCCTTGAAGACTTCTCAATCACTTAAAAACTATCAAAATTGCCATAATTTAGTGGCTTTAAAGACCATATACATATATGTATGTCCGAGCCTGCAGCTAAATAGCCAAATTGACGGCACTGTGCGTGACAGGCACTCACATATCATTTGTATCCGCTGTCTGTTGTTGCCAGTTGCCATTTCATTGTTGCGGCCGCCCTAATTAACGCGGCATCTTCTTTCGGCCACGCGTTCATCTCATTTGCTCTTTTTGCGGCGCGTGTGTCATATACAGATACAGATACATTTCCAGCTACAGATATGGATACATTTACAGATACGAATACAAATACAAAGTCGGATACAGATGGGTTTACACTAGTGGATACCGTTACTGTTACCCGGAACAAGGACGATACAAGGATGCTTAATGTATCTTGTCACAGAGTTCGACGTTTAAATTAACCAACAACAGGAACTGGGTGGAACGCCACCAAAGCCGCCGCACGACAACGTGATAAATTTAATTAATCATTCGCCGCCACCTCCGCCCTATATTCATTCCCCTCCCCCTTTCCCTTTCCACCCCCTTTTGATGCCAAAAACAAACGTCAAAATGGCGGCCGCAGCGCCAAAACTTATGTTTCACCCACTTGGCTGTATTTGCGTTACAGTGATCATTAAATATAGAAAATAGTGATATATTCCCTTGTACAGGTGTCTAAAAGTAGGCTACAATATATATATTTCAGCTTTAAGTCCGTAAAAAAGAAAATAAATAAATATTTTCTTTTAAGCTAAAAGCCCTAAATTTAAGTTTTCTTAAGAACTAAAGGACAATTTAAACAGCCTTTAACATAATGCTTAGTTACATCTTAAAAAAAGCATTTTTTTTGTATTGTGTTTATTTATTTCTTTTTTACTTCCTAGTGCTACAAGGAATTCCTTATAAATTAATGCACTAGTCACAAAATTAAATTAAATTATTTAATTGCAAAACATGCGGGTAAAAAATGAATGAAATTGGGGTATTCGTATCACTTAAAGTTCTTTTGGGAATCCCTTTTAAAGAATACAAAAAAAAACTGCTTTAGTTTTAATATCCTTCAATATTATGTTATTTTCTTATTAGTTTTTATTAACTTTTGGTACAAAAATACGTTTCAAGGTAAAAGGAGCTAAATTTGTTTTTTTTTTTTAAGGGTTATAAGAGATTTCAATCAAACAACATGGAGGTTAACCACTGTAGATTTTGCTTAGGCAGAGATTGGCATACTTTTAGGCGCTGTCATGTTTATGAGCGAGTATTAGAAAACCAAAAGGCGACACTTGACGCGGACTCCGTCACATTCTCCGCATCCGCATCCGCATCCGGAAATCCGTCTCTATCTCCATTTCTCTGCCTCTGCCTCCGAATCTCTGGTCCTTTCTCTGGATTCAGGATTCCCTGATGGTGACGGCTGCTTTGACAAGCGATGGTAAGAGACACAACAGCAACGTCGCAGCAGACGCAACAGCAGCAACATCGCAACAGCAGCAACATGGAAAAACACGCAGCACACACACACACACACACACACTCACGTATGCGTGTGCCTGTGCCTGTGACTGTGGAAATACTTTAAACAAATCGAAAAATTCGCACTTGTGTGTGCGTGCGACAGATGGGCAAAAAAGTTGTCCCTTGTTAGGAGGAAATCATCAAAATGACACAAACAATTATTTAACTTTCGCTAGGCCGTGCGTGAGACCGGTGACGTCACACGACACACACACACATGACAAATGAATTTCCCCCCAACCCATTTTCATGCTTCAGCGAAAGTTACAAGTTGGACAAATAGGTCTATTTACATTAAAGCCTTTTCGGTGGGTAACCTACTAATTTAATTTATTAAAATTTTGGGAATTTCTAATATAGTGGGCTATTTATTTATATTAATTAATTCATAATTAATTTTAACTTAAAAATAAATTTATATTATAGCTAAAATATATACCTAAATTATCTATCAACCTTTGTAAGTTAAGGGTATTAAAATTCGGAAAAAAAAACTAAAAAATAAATGCTGCTTAATAATTTGACTAAGAATTAATTGAAACATTGAAATTTGCAATTATGGACTTATAAGCAAAGACAGAAGCGTACCAATTAAATATAAAAGCTTATGAGTTAAAGAAACGACATCATTACCCCATTTAAAACACAGGAACCGATTGCTGCTGACGGACAAGTTAAACGATGTCATAAAACAAAAGAGGCAACTATAAAAAAATTGCTTTGACAACTACATAATTACCAATACATTTCCCGCTCAATAAATCTCATGTCAGGTTCTTGCAGGAAAATGGGAATAAAAACAAATGTCAGTGGTACTTCAGCTTTATGTCCGGCCCATCATCTTGGCATTCCGATCCGATTTTCCGCCATTCACCGTGTATTATTTTTAACTTTGACATGTGTTGGCTTTTGGCGAGGACATCAACTCATCATTCTCAGGCAGAACAAAAAAAAAAAAGACGAAAATGGAAACTTTGTCGAAGGCAGGCGAAAACTTTTCAAAAACTTGACAAAATGTGTCACATGTGAGCGTGTGTGTATTAGTTGGCGAGCATTAACATTAAATGAGTGACAGGAATCAACACGGATGGCCCCAAAGGCCCCAAAACGAGAATGAGGAAATGGGGTATCGATTGGGTACGAAAAATGAGGCAGAGGGGTTGAACTTGAATAAGGACGGTGTCCTAAACAAATTCGAGGAGATTAGTAAGTAGAGCTTGAAAAAATATCGACAGTTTGCTGTTTTCCCTTCAAAACATCGATATTAGGGAATCGATACAGTCAAAATATCGGAAATATCGATAATTTTCAAGTTCTATTAGTAAGGCAGAATCCAATTCGTACAATCATATAGGTATTTCGAAGATTGTTATTATTTAAGTTATTAAAATATATAATATAATATTCAAAGTGTTAATGAATTGGGATTCCGATTGGTCAACTTGTGGTAGTTAGGATGATAGTTCTGAATAACCTATAAGATTTGAATATTTTACAAGGTTTTGTGTTATGTTATGTTTTCAATTCGATTTAATGCTTTTAGTGCCCCCCAGAGCATTTTCCTTTAAAATCCCCTCATAAATTCAGCTGGAACACGATGGAGAATGCCGTCCTGCCAACAGTGTGGTAGAAACAGGAAGCCCTTAAGCTGGCTCAGAGCGATTGCAACACCTTCAAGATGCTTTATGACCTGAGAGCCATCTCCTTCCTCCACTTGCATCTGCATCCTTTTTACCTTTTGCCTTTGGCAAACAAATGAGTTACTGAGATTTGAGATGTGTCACATGATGTGCACTGGGAAAAATGTATTTCATCATTCTATTAAAAAAGTTTGTTAGTTATTTTTTACAATCCAAGGATCCACAGACATCACCAGATTTCTGAAATCACTTATAATTGTGTCTAAAAGTATGCAACTATATTTTTAAATTCGAATTTATAGGTTATACTTTTAGGTACATATAATAGCTTGAAAATTGTTGATGCTAGTGCTTTCAATATTTTTTAAATATCAATGTTTATCGAAATCATTTAAGTTTTTTGACGTTTTATTAGGGAGTAACAAGTGTTTTAATTTTATTTAATTTTAATTGAATTTGATTTTATGAAAAAATGGATATAATCCATACGATACTGATAAAATATCGAAAATATCGATAATATCCCCCAACTTACTTATTACTTAATTTGAAGTTTTAAAATCGAAATAAAAAGTGCTATATGCCAAGTTCTCGCAGTGTCGCTTTTCTGATGTTTGGCTTTTGTTCGCCGACTCGTTGCAGGCTCCTTCATCTTCCTGACCATCGAGAACGAGGACTCGGCTCTGCTGCATCAGCAGCACACTCTGGCCAGCACCAAGCGCAATATGGCTGGCCTCGGGATCGGTAACAGTATCTATCAGTATCAGCAAAGGACACCGCAGCAGCAGCAGCAGCAGCAGCCGCATCAGGCGGTACAGGGACGTCATGCGGACAATGACACGGTGGCCGCTGCCGCCGCCATTGCCGCCCAGGGAACGTTGGCCGGAAATGCCAATGCCGGCGGCCCCAATCCATTTGGGCCCGCATCCAGTGGCGATTTTGTTTACGGCCTGGACGGCATGGATGCGTCCGATTTGGAGGCGGCCGGAATGCCCCAGTTCGCCCTCTCGCCGGACACCTACGATGTACGGCAGCGGACCATCGAGAATATCTGGGACATCACCGTCTCGCTCAACATTCTCTATAAGGAGAACTGGACAAAGTGAGTGACCAAAATATGTACAAATATTTTTTTACAATTTACAAAATTAAGTTCAAAAAGTTAGACGGCATTTACTTTAAATTTAAAAAAAGATTTTTTAAAATATAATTCTGTGAAAAAAAATAGTAAATCAAAATATTTTATATTTTAATAATAAATATTTTGTAGTATGTATTCATTACAGTCATTATTAATTTTAAATGCGGAAAAAATAAATAGTAATGACTTCAAATATTTATTGTAACATTTTTTATCCTGGTTCAAATATTTTAAAATTAGATAATTTATTTACATTTGTTTTGTATTTAATATTACATTATTTCATTTAATTTAAATATGTAATTTGAATCTTTAAATTTAATATGCAAATATTTGTTTATTACAAATCCATTTGTTTTTCTATGTTCAACAGTTGAAAAGATGACATTTATCAAATTCATAAATTTTAGTTTAGCTATACGTTTTTTTTTAATTTTTTAAAGAACATTTTACTAAAAATAATTGTTTAATATTAAAATAAAATAAATAAAATGCTCCTCTGTGCGTATACTTGATGTAAGCAACCTGGGCGTATACTTTATTTTTCCATATTGATTTCCCAGTGTGATTCCTTTGACTTTCTCACTCTCTCCTTCTCTTTCTCTGTGTCTCTCTCTCTGTCTCCCTTACAGATTAGCCGCACTTGAAATAGCCAAGTTTCAAGACCAATTAATCAAGAGACTGAACGAGGATGTTATGCTGCAATTATCACACGACGATGTGGCCAACGCCCCCTCCTCATCCTCGTCGTCGGGCGCCTCTGGTGTTCCGGGGAGCAACAATCCGGCCACGGAAGCCGTGCTCCTTCACACACACTATCACCATCATCGCGCCGGAGGCGTCGGGGGCGTGGCAGTGGGCGGGGGACCGCCGCATGAGTGGAATTTTGCCAAAGCGTTTTTGTATTCGCTGACCGTTTTGACCACAATTGGTAAGTGCCAGTGGCCTTCTGCCTTTGGAGGGAGGGGGGGCTTTTGAGGTACAAGCACCCCCACCCCCGTCCCCAAAAGAGGGAGATAGAAACAATGGTCCCCAGCCAAGCTCTCTTCATTTTTCCCCATTCTGGCTGTGGGCCATAAATTTGATGTTCCACCAACGGAAATTTGTTTTACTTGAATGGCGAGTACGCTCTTGTTTGCAGGATACCAAAGGCAATAGCGGCCAAAAGAGGGAAATACACTGCAAAAAGTCAGTTAATATTTTTTTATATAATCCGCAATGCAAAATGACAAACGAAGCTATAAAAATGATCTCTAGTACTATTCATGGTTGTAAAATTTATTTAATATCGATAGTTTGGTCTTAATATCGATGGTATCGCTCAGCTTAATAATTTAGTTTTACAGGTGATGTTTTTAGTCGCGATTACAATTTACATTTATTTATAGTTGTCCTTGGCTTTGAAACTTTTTATTTATTTTTATTATCAAATTCCGGAAGTATCGATTATATCGAAAGTGGTCGTTATCAATAGCCAAAACTATCGGTGGTGTCCACTATCGATTTTTTCACAATGCAAAATGTGTATTCGATCGATATTTTTATCGTAGTAAAAGTGATGTAAGGGTCAAAATTATATTTTGTCAGTGTATAAAAAGGGGGTACGGGACTGGGGCGACGGGAGGGCTATGGGCATGACTCGTACACCTTTTGACACCATCGCATGAGTGCATTTGGGGCCCAACCAACTGCTGTTGTTGATGGCAACTAAAGAGAATAGCGGAGTGGTCAAAAAAGGGGACTAAAAGGGGGCTATAAATGTGGCTGCCAAAAGGGGTGGGGGTGAAAACGGGAAGAGGGGGCCTTGATGATGATGCGATCCCATGGTCACATCCATGATGCAGGTTGCACAACGAAGCCGGAGTAATTCGTGGCATAAGAACTGCAGTGGTAATTGATTGATGTGCGTACCGGACGCGGGCTTAAAGTGTTATCGTTTCCAGACAACGATTATTTATCGAGGGGATTACAGGTGTCTATCGAAAAAACAAAGATAGCCAAATTAATGGAAAGCAAGTTTTTTGCTTAAAATTCAGCGATTTTTTCAAGGTTGAAGTTAAATGCAGTCGAATATTAATTTTATTCCCGGAACAATTGCAAATATTTAAATAAACATTTGATTCGTTAGAAAATTAAAAGTATTGTACTTAATCTTATTTTAAATATATTTTTTAATATTGCTTTTTTTCCAAATATTAAAAATATATATTCATTGCTTTTACGATTTTTTTTACCTTTCTCTTAAACATAAATTTTTCAATTTGTATTCCATATCGACTGTGTGATAGATTTCCAGCTCTGTCCTTTCAATTACCGAAACTAATTCGATAAGACTTCGATTGCTGACTCTGTGAGGATTTCTCAATTGGCATTTGTCAGCAGCAAGGACCCCCGGAAAATCTTCAGCTCCTGGGAAAAGGTCCTGGCCAATTTTAAATATTGGTTTGTGGAGGGCCAAAACTTTTAAGCCCCTAACATCCATCTATGTTCAGGGGATTTTCCCGCACCTTTTCCCTGGATTTTTCCTCTCCTGCTAGCCAGTTGTTGGATTTCCCAGCAAAAGTGCCGTGTGCGTTTTTCTCTCTCACTTGGAAGGTAATTTCGTAGGCCCAAGAAGCCAAAAAAAGGGAGACAAAAAACCAAGCCGAAAGTCAAATATTGATAGAGCAAAACAACAAACGAAGCTATTTGCTTAGCCCGAATGGCCGAGACACACACACAGGCATTCTAGGGTTTTATAGCAACGTATATATCCGTATATATATGCAAGGATACATCGACACGACTTTCCACTTGTGAAAATGCTATAAAATAAAATTTGCAAAAATTTTCTGCTGATCTTGGCAGTTTATGCCAATGCCAAAAGGCCAGAAAGCAAATATAGGACCAGAGAAACGACCACCCCATCCCCGCCCATCATTACTCCACTCCACGCCCTTGCAAATGTGCATAAAAATGGGAGCAGGAGGCGGGGCAGTTTGCAATTGCGTTAGTCAGGAGACTGCCGGGACATTTGTATTAACATGACATCCTGGCATCCTGGCATCCTCGCACCCAAAATAAAAAACAAAAAAACACACACCCACTCCTTGTCCTTGTCCTTGCTTATTATTATTATTATTATTGTTTTTGTGGGTTGTGCTCGTTTTTTTCGGCCTGGAAAAAGCGGGGGCAGCAGGTCTTCATTGTTCTTGGACGGGCAGCCCGAACAATATGATTATGATTATTGGTCCGTGCTTCTGGCCAAAGGACTAAGCCAGTCGAGTACTCGAATGCAGCGGAATGTTCCATGCTCCGATACTCTATAATTAACTTGGCTTTAAAGTTTTATAGGTTTTTGGAGCTTCCTAAAATTTTACTAGAAAGGAAACTATTTTAAAGCACAGGAAAAAAATCTAAATTAAATAGGTTCAATTCCACCTTATTTCATATCAATAAAAAGAAGATATGATTAATGTCAAATTTATAATTTAAACTTAAGATAAGACAAAAATTATAAAAATACTAATAATGTAAAATTTTTTGAAGAATCATATCAAAATGATCTTTAAAAAATATAAATTTGACCTGCTCATATCAATATGATATTTTTCTATTTTTTCTGTTTATTTAATGTAAAAACGTAACCTTATTTTAGGATATATGACTAAAATAGTTCAGGTGTAGTAAGGTGGCATTTGTAAAAGCCTTAAAAAAAACTATTTGCATTTAATTATCAAATTATTATACAATCTTAAAATTACACTTTTTTCGACAGGGGCTTCAAAGTATAAACAAAAACCAAAACATATAAATAAATACAGTCTTAGATCAATACGTTAAATTAATCAATGAGAAATCAAAAAAAAAAATATCTAGCTACATCTATAAGAATTCGAGGGTATCTCCAGGTTGAGCACTATTTAGCCAGCACATCCTCGTTCTTGGCGTGAGTTCTATGATTGTCTTGGGCATAAATGCGAATTTATAGGCAGCCTGCTCCTTCCGCTCCTCGAGATTCCTTCTGCTGTCGCTGGCACAATAAATAGGACCCCGGATCGGGATCGGCCAATCCCCTGGACAGCAATAAGACAAGTAATTTAGTTGCAAAATAATTTTAAATTTCATTTTCCATTTTCACAAGCACACACATACACACACACACAGTGAGGGGATGAGAATGAAACTGAAACTGAGGAAACTGAAGCTCCATTTCCACATTCACTATCATCAATTGCGCATCTTTGGGGCCCTGCGATTCCGTTTTATGCTCCGCCATATTGTATTATGTGTGGGCATAACCGAAGGACCATCGATATATAAATGGGCCTCAATGAGCATGGGCATGGGAAGGGGCATGGGGAGGGGGTAGGGGAACTTGGATAAACCCGAGTCCAAGTCGAAGGCAGATTAGGTCTAGTTGTTTATGGCGAGAGTGTGTGTTTAAGCTGCGACCGGGTAATTGTATTTACTTGCCCGCACACGCATATTCGATAAATAATTCACTCGCCTATCGGCTTAGTGCCCCATCCCTAATCAGTAATCACAACCCATAAACGCTTACAGCGATTTATTTGCATAATCGATAAATACCTATCGGAAGGGAAATGAATGGCGAACATTGTGGGCAAATTGAACTTTGTAAGTTGAGTTGTAATGGAAAGAAAATTAACTTTGTGAGCAGCATTGTAATAGGAAAAAAATATGTGGGGGATACCCTTTTGATTAATTCGATCACTGTTTTCTGGTATAAGTTTTGAGGTTAAGGAACGCTCATCCATAGATTGAGGTTATGGAGTAATCGAGGTTACCACATAAAGTGTAAAAGGGCTTTAATATAACCAATATTATTACTAATTTCTATGATAGTTAACTTTCAACCGGATATACATAGATATAGATTTAATAGATTTCCTTCACCGAGTTTGAGTCTCTCCTCGTGCCTCCTCAATATTGAAATCTTTCAATATCTTTCAATAAAATATGTAGATGCCCTCGTTATCCTTGAGTTCCCTGATATCCCAGCAAATTGACAGCGCGGCAGCTGAGTTTTACAGCCCCCTCGAGTCGGGTCAATGGCAATATTATTAGCCATGGGTGGTGGCGGGGGGTTTTCTGGGTGTTAAGGGGGGTTTTGCTAGATTTTGGCTTTTGCGCCACCCCCCGAGCACAGTGGTGCAAATAAATCAGCAAAATGTTGCCGAAAATCTTGCCAAAGATTGATTTATGCCTCTCCCCTAGAGCACAACAATGGCCCACTGTGCGGGGATGGGAAAAGGGATATGGATATATCGATATATCGGTGGGGGGTACTTTCAGGGGATGCTGAGCTGTCGTCTGCTTTGTGACACATTGACATTTTGGCCATGCGGAAGGGGCGAGGGGGTATTTCATTTAAATTTGCTGTCAACGCAATTACATGGTTACCAAGGTCTTGGAAATCCGCTTCCTGTTTCACTCACTGTTGCTTATTTAAGTGAACATACATAACCCCCATACACTGATAAAAAAAAATGATTGGATTTTTTTATTTAACGATTTATGCTAAAATCAGGTTTTATAAACTCAAATTAATTTCTCAAGCTGCCTAAAAATCTTGCATTTAATTCAAAAAATTTTTATAAATATTTTTTAAAAATTAAAATAATAATAGCCATAATTTTTCCTTTAGAGTATATAATATAAATTTAAATAAATAATCAGATTTTAAAATGCATTTTAAAATACTTTTTAAAAACTCTAATTAATCTCTAAAGATGCCAAAAAAGCTTAGATTTAATTTTATAAAATCATTAAATTTTTTAAAATGTGTTGTAAAAATTAAATAAATAATAGCAATCATTTTTCCTTTAGACCTAATATAATATAATTTTTTTCTCTGCACTCATCTCCCCCAAAAATGTCTCCTTTTCAAGAAGACACAGGCCGCGGGCACTTGAGCCCTGCCACATGTGATACCCCCATATTGATTCGATTCATTTGCTCCCACAGCTTCCTTCCAATCTCAAATGACTCACTTCCCTCGCAGGCAACATTTGTTCAATAAAAAAAATAGAAGACGCGGCAGCCAATAAACCACTCCCACGTGTAAATAAAAAAATATATATCGCAAAACCGCCGACTGAGAAATAAAAGAAAAAAAACAATAAAATTAAGAAATTTTCAAATTTATTCATGACACACCTGACGACGATTGCGTGTGTGTGTGTGTGTGCCACGCCCACCTACTCAATTGTTCCCCACCCCCTGTTCCTTTTTTTCCAACCTTCCTTAGGGAATTTCCGGCCTTAAGCTTGTTAAGCATTTTTATTGCCTCTGCCAGCTTAATTATTTTTGGTGCCCTTTACAACATGGCGAAAAATGGTATAAAAAAAGGCAGAGTGTGGGGAAAATTTACAGAGTTGGGGAGGGGTTTACCGGGCTTATATGTGAAGTTACGGCTCATTTGGGTAATGTCAATAAGTCGGATCTCTCGGGGGAGTAGCACAAATTGACTTCTGGCAAATTAATGTGGGAAAATCCAAAAAAACAAAAAAGGAAATTGTTAATGGACATTTTCTGCGCCGGAGAAAAATCTTTTAATAACCATTATATGGTTAGAGTAGAGGCTTATATATAAATGCGGAAACTGAAAAATTTGAATAAAAATAATACTTAACAGTATTTTATTTCGGTTTTTGACAAAAATATGAATTTTAAATTTTTTTTTTTGCTGTAACTTGACTAAAAATGATGTGACACCAAAAATGCATACTGTTTTGAACAGAATTTATTTTTTTGTTTTTTTTTCTGTAACTTGGCCAAAAATGGTCTTACACCAAAAATACTTTCCGTTTTGAACTGATAACAAACTAATAAATAAATCCACGACACTTTCCGTGTAATTTTGGAAAAATAAAATTTTTGCCAATTTTCAATTTTTTTATAAGGGGGTACATCATAATTTTTTGCAAAAAATGGTCAAAAAATAAATTGTTCCGGTTTTAATGCCAATCGATTGGAAATTTAATAACAAGTTCAGAAAGGTATGACAATCCATACTTTAAATCAGTATTTCCACTGTTACGATCAAAAACAAATATTTTTTGGTGGAAAATTGGGATCTGGGTTTTTGACAAAAATATGGATTTTTTTTTATGTAACTTCGACTACTTACAACGAAGTAACTCTACTCTTCTTTCTCCCCCTTCAGGCTATGGAAACGTGGCACCGCGCACGACTCTGGGGAGGATCGTGACCCTGGCGTACGCCTTCTTCGGCATCCCGCTGACCCTGGTCTACCTGAGCAGCACGGGCAGCATCCTGGCCCGCGTGGCCCGCGAGGTCTTCTCGAAGGCGCTGTGCTGCTGCCTGTGCTCGAACTGCGGCTACTGCTGCTACGACGAGAAGCGGATGGCCGAGAAGGAGCGCCGGATGCGCCGGAAGCGGCAGCAGGAGGAGCTGCGCAAGCAGCAGGCGGTCATGCAGGAGCCGTACTACGTGCGCGATGTCTTTCATGCCACGCCCGAAAAGGATGCGGCGGCCGCCGGAGGCGGAGCTCCGCCCCCGAATGCCGGTGGTCCGGGGGGAGGAGGAGGAGGAGGAGGCTCCTCCGGCGGACTGGGCGACATCGATTCGCTCAGTGCCAGCGAGTCCAGGGGCTCCATGCACGGCCTGAGCATCCTGGCCCCCATCCTCCTCTGCTTCTCGATGATGATCATCTACATTGTCTTTGGGGCCGCCGTCCTGTATCGCCTGGAGAACTGGCCCATCCTGGACGGCATCTACTTCTGCTTCATGAGCCTCTCCACCATCGGCTTCGGGGATATGCTGCCAGGATTGCGCCGCGAATCGAATGCCACCACCTGGTTCTGCTCGGTCTACATCATGTCGGGCATGACCCTCACGGCCATGTGCTTCAATGTCATCCACGAGGAGATTGTCCATCGGCTGCGCATAGTGGTGGAGTTCAAGAAGACGAGTGCCGCCAATTCGGGCAGCCTGTCCGCTGGTGGTGCTGGCGGCGGTCCCGGTGGCTCGATGATGGACGTGGCGCACGAGGAGGGCGGCCAGTACTATGTGCCGGCCTCTTGACACTACGAGAAGCGAGGGCATCTCTACCAGCGCAACCCCACCGAAGAGACCCTGGTGACAGGTGAGACCTTGCATTTCTATTTACTATTTTCGGCTTGTTTTAATACCATATGGTCCTTCGTGCCAGATTCGTTTTAATTTTTCTACAATTAATAAGGAGTAAAACCGATAACGCACAGAAAATAAGTTGACATATGATAGGGGTAAATTCTACCTAATTTCATATCAATAAAAAACATATATAAAACGTTTTAAAATTATCAATTTAATAGCATACCAGTTATTTCATGAAAATTATAAACATACAATACTTTTAAATACCAAATGTAGTATTTTTTAAACAAATAATATAAAATCAGATAGTTATAATCCTTCAAAAATATTATATTGACCGTTGCGTAACTGAATCGACATTAACTTTTAAATACCTTTATTAATTTGGTTACAGAAATATAAGATATCCGGCTCGAAGGACCAAATCAACTTTATTTTACAAATAATAGGAATAGTTAATAATGTTTTCTCCCCTTTCGCAGACACACCCACATCGCTGGTGCTGAAGGACTATGTAAACCACGAGCTGGTGCCCATCCTGACCATGGATCCGAATGGCGCCCGCCTGGCCCCCGCCCCTGCCCCCGCCTACACACCCGCCGCCCCCTCTGCGATGATACCCGAATCGGGTGAGGTCACCACACCCGGCAATAGCTGCATTGCCCACGGCAGCGATCCCGGATTGGGCTACTCCTCGCTGAGCAGTCCGCTCCTCGATGTCCTGACCACGCCCACCGGGGCCAACGCCTCCGGGGTCTACACCCTCGCCGAGGAAACGGAACTCGAGCTCCAGGAGACGCAGGTGGACAGGGAGCGCATCTAAGGAAGCTGAGAACGATGACAGTATTTACTCGACGGATCAGTATTATAGTTAGCGATTAGCCTTAGACATAGTCCTAAAACCCTAGATCGAATCGGAATAGTTTGTAAAGTGTACTGGAGATTTTTTTTGTTTTTTTTTCTCCTGCCCGTAAGAAAAATATGTAAGTGTGTGCGTGTGTGTGTATGTAAAGGGACTTTCCCTAAAGAAAAAAAATGAAAATGAAAAGAAAAACAAGCCGCGTCCCGTTGGACCAGCAAAAAGATCGTAGCATAAGTCGAACTATCACTGTACATACTATATATTGTAGCCGAGGCGAAGATACATTTCCGTAGCTCCTAAGCAGATCAACCGATTGTAAACAGAGGCCCCCAAGAAAGATAGCTTAGTCAATGTAGCGGAATGATTCGAACTCGTAATAAACCCAAAATACAGAAAGCTCTCGCATTCCAAGGGAATGGAAAAGCTGAAAGAAAGAATAACAACTGTTTGGGGGAGCTGAGGTGATCATAGGTATTGCAATTTATTCTGAAAGAATATTGTAAAAAATTATACATTTATTATTATAATACTTTAACTCACTTTTCAAGGGATTTTAAATAAAATTTCTATTTATATTAAATATTAGTTTTAACATTTTATAAAAATAGTTGAAAACCGTTTTTATAATTTTTATTTTTTATTGTTATTCTTGTATTTATTTTTAAGAGTTGATTGATTGTTTCCAAGCAAATGCTGGGCAATAAATGTGATCATCTCAACTCGCCCTTTTCTCACCCTTCGATTTATTCGAAACTACACTTTCTTAATGTACGAATAAATAGAAAAATTCCCCCTTTTTATGTGTGTAAGCAGGGAGCCCCAGAACGCAACTACATAATCCGCAATACCCATACCTAATCAAGACACATTTTATACGTAAATCAAGCTTAGAAAAATTACAAAATATGTACTTAATACGATATAAATATGCTACACATAAATATATATATATACACATATATATATGTAAAACTACATCTAGGTAATTGTTTTTTTTTTTGTAATTGTAATAAGCATAAATTGGAGGAGAGGAAAAATAAACTATGCATACATATTATCAATGAATTCGAATTCATAAATTTAAATAAATGTTTGAAACTACAAAAGAAAACTACGAAACGAAAAGAAAAACAAAAAAAAAACACAAACGAAACTTGCGTAACTTTGTAAATGTTGAAATATACCCAATTGTATATTTATGACAAGTGAAGCAGTGAAATAAAATCAATAAAAACTTAAATGAGTAAAGATGTTAATAGCGTTCGTATTTGACTAGGGGAGTAATTCAAATTTGGCGCGCCTTTAGCATAAGCTGTTAAGTATAACAGCGGGCTGTTACTTGCAGACATTTTTGTGCTGTTAACTTTTACATTGGGCTGTAAGACGCAAAGGTGCAGTGTTGGTTAAATAAATAAATATTTTATTATTTAAGGCTTTTATGATTTAGTTGAAATGTTTATTTTAAAAGTTGCTAATTTATTTATTTATTTTTGAAATTTTTTTTAGATGTATCTTTTTTTGAGTGCAATAACACTAACTTTTACAGCTTTTATAACACTGCTCCGCCATCTTGAATCAACCGTTAGGATTTTATTGGCGTGTCTTTATTTTTAAGTTTATGTCAAGTTTTGTTCATTGTTTATAAATTGTTTATAAATCGTATGAGAGATAATGGACTGGTCGCTCATCATATCGATCCTGATCAATTGTCTATATGCCTCGGCGCTGGACGACGATTGTCCCACGCTGGCCGATGGGGACAGTTTGTCGCAGACCCAATTGCTGGACCGCTTAACCCATGGCTGCCGGTACGACCGACTGGAACGACCCATCACCTATTCGGAATCCGGCCAGCGATTGCCGGTGGACGTCTATATGCGCGCCTACATCTACTTCATGCAGAATCTCGAGGCCCACGATCTGCAGTTCAAGATCTACGCCCTCCTCCAGATGCGCTACCTGGATCCGCGTCTCAATTTCCGCAACGTGAGTCCCAAGCGCAGACAACCGATTTTGGGGGAACAGCAGCTGCGCGACTCCCTCTGGATGCCACACATATTCCTGGCCAACGAGCGGGACTCCAGTATTTTGGGTGAGAACTGAAGGTTTATAAACCTTACATATATTACAATGTCCCCAATAAGTTATATCTTGAAAAATACTGCTACAAACAATACTAATTTTCCCTAGGCTTCTAATTAATTATCCTATTTTTATCATATAAGCATATTTATCATATCTAAAGATTATTAAATCTTAAATATTTTATCATATCTGTATATTATTAAACCTTAAATATATTACAATATCCCCCACTACTACAAATAATTCTAGTTTTCTCTAGGCTTCCATTTAATTATCCTATTTCTATCATATTACAGTATTTATAATATCTAAAGATAATAAGTTATAAACCTTAAATACATTAAAATGTCCCCAATTTTTAATAACTTATATTGGGAAGTACTACTACAAATAATGATGATTTAATTATTTATATATTTATTTATCATATCTGAGGATTATTAAACCTTAAGTATATATTACAATGTCCCCAAGTTTTAATAAGATATCTTCGGATATACTACCATTTCTATTTAATTATCATATATGTATCATATTTAAAGATTATTAAACCTTAAATATAGTACAATGTCCCCGAGTTTTAATAGTTATAAAGGAAAATACTACTAGTTTTGTATAAATATATATTTTTTAATATTGTCTTGGAAAATATACTACTAGTTTTCTTCCTATTTTAATCATATTACCATCATAATGATATGATAAGTACCAAAAATTCCACAGGTATCTATCCCATCACCCTAAAAACAGTGACTCCGATTAATTTAAATCTCCATTTCTCTTGCAGGCCTCACGGAGAAGGACATCCTCACCTCGATCTCCCCCGACGGCACCGTGATCGTCTCGAACCGGATCAAGGCCACCTTGTACTGCTGGCTCAACCTGAAGAAATTCCCCTTCGACGAGCAGCACTGCTCGACGATTCTGGAGAGCTGGATGTACAACACCTCGGAGCTGGTGCTCCACTGGGAGCAGAAGCGTCCGATCACCTACGACGGTGCACTGCATCTCACCGAGTTTGTGCTGCAGCGATCGTGGTCGAATGAGACGGTGATCAATGCCGATTTGAGTGATTTGCGGCACGGCGCCTTTGCGGGCAACTACAGCTCCCTCAGCTTCACCGTTCACCTGACTCGCGTGGTGGGCTTCTACCTGATGGACTACTTCCTGCCCTCCATGCTGATTGTGGCCATATCTTGGGTATCCTTCTGGCTGCAGGCCGACCAGGCTCCGCCGCGCATTACGCTGGGCACCAGCACGCTTTTGACTTTTATCACCTTGGCCTCGGCGCAGGGAAAAACCCTGCCGAAGGTGAGCTACATCAAGGTGTCGGAGGTGTGGTTCCTGGGCTGCACCATCTTCATATTCGGCAGCATGGTGGAGTTTGCCTTTGTCAATACTATTTGGCGTCGCAAGAAGAGTGTGCCGGTGAAGAAACTGAACAGCAAGCATATTTTAAAGTCCACGCTATCGCCGAATCTTCTCAGGCGTCGCAGTCACGCCAGATCGAGATCGTTTTCGGGCACAGCCCTTCAGAAGGCCGCCGATACGAGCTCCCTGGGCGGTGCTGGGTTCAATAACTACCTGACCGTCAATCTGCCCATCACCACGATCAAAGAGGGTCAGGTTCTGGACGAGCAGAGGACCAGGAACCTGCAGAAACTGGACGTGAACTTCGTGGAGAGCGCCTTTGGGATGCCAAGGGGAGCGGCTCAGTCGACGGGAGGCATTAGTGCGGCCAGCAGCACCCAGACTTTGACCAACAATAATCGCAACGAAGGCGGTGGCGGAGTGGATCACCAGGAGGAGATCGACCTGAGTGGCTGGACCACCCTCACGCCGCAGGAAATCGCCATGTGGATCGACAGCCGGGCTAGATTCGTTTTTCCCCTCGCCTTTCTCGTCTTCAACCTGTTCTTCTGGACATTTGTCTACTGTATTTAAATATGAGAAATTTTAAAAAATATTTAATTTATGTTTTTGTTGCTTTTTATTCACCCTTTACTGCATTATGGTTAATTATTATGAGTTTGTAAATTGGAGATCTCTATAAAAGTATGTTGTTTTTATTATTCTGTAAAACAAAGATAACTACATAAATATTTTTGAAATAAAAAACAAATTTTAATACAAATTAACCGTATTCAATTGTATTTTATCAAAATTCCATATTTAAGTTGTGTGGGATTATGTATTTGAACATTTGAAAAATTCTGTAAAAGTATGTAATTATTATATTAACCGTATTTTATTTTATCGAAATTCCATACTTAAGTTATGCAGGATTATTTTAATATTGCGATTTTAAAATTTGTACCTCTATTATAATTTTTCTTCTTAAAAAACAGTTCAACGTATACTACTTTTTGTAGAAATTTCCATTTTAAAAATGCAATGAGCTTTAAATTTTGTATTATTCAAAAACGATTCCCTTTCGCGCCTCCAACGCGAGTACAAGTATCGATAGAAGTATCGATGAAACAGCTGGGGGCACCAGCCATATGCTAACCTGTGCGTCAGAGCAGCACCGCTATACTCACCAGCTATTCGTATTCGTTTTTCCCCCACACATACACACACACGACACACGCACACAGCGCAACAATAACAAAAAAAAAAAAAGACGACGGACACAACTTCGTCGTGAATTGTAAAATACAAAAAAAAACGCACTAGTTTGTTTTTTTTCACGTGTAACTACGCCAAAAAAAAGGGCAAAGGAATTAAGCAGCAAAAAAAAGAAGAAAATCGGCGCAGCAACAACAACAAGAGCAGAGAGCCGCATATATGTGCGTGTGTGCAAGTGCAAGGCAAACATAAACAACGCGAGTGTGTGTGTGTACAACGAAAAATTAAAATATTGTATAAATCAAATTTATATATAATTTATTTTTTTTGTTGTTTTGCCATCATGTATGCCATATAGTGATCCCTTCAATCAAGAGGCAAACACAAAAAGAACTTGAATTGTAAAAAAACCGCAACACTTGCATAGTTTTTACAAATTAAAAAAAAACAAAAAAAAAACGAACAAAATAAGAGGCAAGAAGGCAAAAAAAAAAAGAAGGAGCTGAATGCTAACCGGTAAAGATAGCGGTAAATTGCGAGGGAGAAGGACAAGAACAACAACAACGACTGCGGAGGGGGCGAGGAGCAACAACAAAGTGCATATATTCTTCCTTCTCCCCCACCTCCTCTCCATCATCTTCTTCCCGATTTACTGCTATAATGGACACCATCTGTAGATTGTGCTTCCAAACGGCAACGGTATGTTAACAAAAAAAAAGATGATATATACACATATGATTAGGTATATACACTTTGTTGTTTCTATTGATTTTTTTCCTCTTTTTTTTTTGGGGAGTTTAAACAATTGAATTTGCGCTACTGTTATTGTGCGCGGGGGGCGGAGTGGTGGGGGTTGAAAAGCGCGCGCATTGCCCCCCTTTCCCACACACCCATACGCACACAGGGAAATAACAAATACACACACACACATTCGACCCCAAACTATTGCTGAACAATTTTTATTTTTAGCCAACTCAGCCCGAAAAGTTGTTCAAGCCGACAACTTGAAAAAATATTATTTTTACATTTTGCTTACGCTTTGCCGCTCGCTTTTCACTTTGACTCCTTTTCAACCTTTCCTCCCCCCTTTGGTGTCCCCTCGCGGCCCCTCCGCCCCCCGCCTCCCATGAGCCACACAAAAAGAAATACATAATAAAACAAAATGACAGAAATTGCGCCAAGGCAGCCAAAAGACAGGGGCTGAGGGGGGATAGTTACAGGGGGGATCCGATACATTTATTTAAATATCTATTATTATTTATTTTGCTTTTATCTGTGAAAACTAATAATCTTGCTTTGCGTTGTTATTAAAAATTTGCAATTAAATTGGTTGTCAAAAAATTCAAAATAAGTAAAACGTTTACTTAAATTTCAATTTACTTTTCTATAATTCTCATAAATTACGTTACTAAAACTATACCCCTTTTTGTGGGGACGCCTCTGCCTCGATTGCTGGCAGAGCGGCGGCAAAACAAAACAAAAAGCGAAAGAATAACAAAACGTTGTACCGAAGAAAAAAAAACATGAAATGAAAACAACAAAAGTTTTGTTGTTGCTGTTATTGTTATTGTAGTTTCTTTTCTTTCTTTTCCATTCCCCATGTGTGTGTGTGTTTATCTTCTTGTCTGTTATTTCTAGTTGGTGGGAAAGAGAAAGGGAGAGGGGGTGGTGGAACGAAATGAGGTTGAGTTGCCACAATAAATAAAGAGTATTTTCTTTTTCTCGATCAAAAACTCCAATTGGAAAGGCTCTCTAATACCGATTCCATTCTTCTTCCCGTCGTCCTGTTTTACAGTTATTCCAAGTGCCCGGCTATAGCATACCCACGTGCGTCCGCTGCTCGGAGCAGTTGACAAATAATTCCAACTTCCATCAGTCGGCGGCAGCCGCTGCCGCCGTCGCTGCCTCGGCCTCTGCCGCAGTCGCCGCCTCCGCAGCAGCCGCGGCCACCTCCTCATCGACGGCCTCCTCCAGCGACAGCGACGCCATCGCGCAGCAGCACCAGAACCCGCAGCAGCAGCATCCAAACTCGCAACAGCAGCAGCAGCAACAGCAAATGCAATCATCCAGTTCTTCCGAGAACCTACAGTCGCAGGACGACTCCGAAGACGTAAGTCCTTTCGAGGAGAGGATGCAAGAAATGTGCAGTGAATTAAGAGTTGAGCAAGTCGTACCTCAAAATGTTCCAGAGGGGTTAGTTATTTTGAAAAAGTGCTATCAAAGTTCTAGTAAATCCAGCAATCCCAAGTTCAGTGCTGTAAAGTCGTAGTAAGGAAGAAAGAATAAATATTGTGTTGAAAAAGTCGTACATCAAAAGGTTAAAGTTTTGAACAGTAGTCATAAAAAAGTGTTGAAAAATTATAGCTGGGAGATCAAGTTAATCCAGTGTTGAGCAATTCTAAGTTAGGCAGCTACAGCAAGCGCAGTGCTGTAAAAGTCATTGTACAGAAGTTGCAGTAAAGTAAGGGTTAACAAATAAATTTAAAAAAAGTATAGAGCTACAATACTCTTTTTAAAGTTTTTCTTAAAGTTCAAGATTTAAAATATTAATGTAACCTGTTACTCGAAGAAAGGGATTTATTTACTGACTAGGCTTTATATGTACATCTGTATAGTTTCAGCCGTGGTCTATATAAAGCAAATCTTTTTATTAAATATTAGAAAAATATTAGGTTCAATAGAGCAATTTTACTAATTAATTTTCCGAGCTAAATTTCTAAAATTGGTTTCCATATTATAAGTGAATACAATTTGAATTATAAACTGAAGCAGAGAAAACCCATATTCTCGATTCTAGAAAACCAATTTATGAAATTACCTTTTTAAATATGAATGATGCCAAAAATGGTCAATTTAAAACTAATTACTACGTGCATTGTAAGCCCCCTTCGATTTATTCCGATTGGAATTATGTAGGTTTAGGGACCCCCACTTTCTTCGGGGGGCACTCCCCTGGGAATCCGACTCCTGCTCCTTCTACTGCACTTGTTTATTATTGTTGTGCTATTTTCTCTTTTTTTTTTACTACTCCCCCACTCACAAAAAGAATACATAAATACATATATATACTTACATACGTACATACTGCACATTCATAGCTGCTTTTTTTCTTCTTCGCTTCTTATTTCGCCGTTTCTTTGCATGTTCTTGTTGCCTTTCTTTTTCCATCATGCAACAGAGAATTGCAAAAAAAAAAGAAAAAAAAAGTATAAATAAAATTAAGAATGGGTCATGTCGACTTTGACGAATACTCTCTTTTTTAAATTGTGATTACTGGGGATCTTGGAAGAAAAGTTTGCACTCATTTGTTTCCAAATTTAAGTTCTCACAAATCAAATAAAAATCAATTTATTTAGTTTAAAAGTTTAAGAATTTACATTAATATCTTTGGCTGCAAAAGTTTTCAAAATCCTAAAATTTGATTTAGTAAACAATTTTATTTTGCAAAGTCTAGAAAAATTGGCAGAGTATTCGCTATTCCACCTGCTACTTTTCGCACTGCTCATTTTCTTGTTTTCCTTTATATTTATATATATGTATGTATATATACACATATATTTTGTGCTTCTTTTTCCATTAATATCTGCTCTGGCGACGTCGACGTCGACGTAGAAGTCGGCGTATCTCGGCGTTTTTGTGCGCTGTGTAAAGCGGAAAAAATTCATTTTCAGTTGACGCTTTTGGTGTGTGGGTGTGCGTAGCACGCAAAAGAACAAAATAACAATAAATATAAATAGTGAAAAAATATTAAATATAATTTGAGTGATTCCGCAATAAACAAACTGAATTCGCACGGGAATTTGCAATCCGTTCTTTTGGCCGCCAGCTTGTTGAGCGTGAGTGGGAGTGGGAGGGAGATAGTTCCAGGGTGTTGTCAATTTAGCTATTTTACCGCTAGTTTTATATATACAAAACTTAAAAAACGTTTTATAGAATTACCAGAAAAAGTTTCTAAGCCTATAAATTTTATATTATTTATTTTTTTAAATATAATATTTTCGCAAAGATGATTTTTTAAAAATTCTGTATTTATTCAATTTTATTTTAATTATTTGAAAAAAAATAATGGGGAATATTTTTAAGAAAATATTTATACCCCTTAAAGTGTCTTTATCTTGCTTTCAAGACTTGACAACCCTGTAAGCGATAGCTACAGTTGACCCCCATTCAAAAAACAACCATTTCTCAACTGAAACTGATGCTCCATTTATTTCTTCAAGGTGGATCTGATATTCAACGAGGAGGGCTCCTGCCCACTATGCAACAAAACTTTCTCGCGCAAATCCTCGCTCATGACGCACATACGAAATCACTCGGCGGAGCGTAAGTTTGTGTGCACCTACTGCCACAAAGGTGGGTTTCTCCCTGCACCCTAAATATATATAAACACAACTCTATTTGTTCTATTCCCTTGATAATCTGTGGATTTTCTTCGACTTGCAGGCTTCACGCAGGCGGCCAACTTGCGGAACCACGAACGCATCCACACGAACGATCGGCCATATCAGTGCGTGGACTGCGGAAAGACCTTCACGCAAATCACCAATCTGAACAATCACCGCAGGCTCCACACTGGAGAACGGCCCTTCGTCTGCAATGAGCCCGAGTGCGGTCGCAGTTTCGCCCAGGTCAGTTGATCTAGGGAATATACTAGACATTTATAACGCCCCAGATTACCTCTTAGCTTTTCAAACCATTTAGAAAATCCTACACAGAGAGAATTCTGACATTCTTATCCATGTTCTTAAATGTTTTTAAAAAAAGAGCCATATTTTAAAAGTTGAAAATGTTTTTAATGTGCTTAAATCAAGCCGAATTTGCGGAATTTACAATATTTATCTCAACAACTAATCGATTAGTGCACTCAGTAGTGTACATTTATCAAGAAGTTATTTAATATACACCATTTAAATTTAATTTAAACTCTTCTAACCATTTTCTTCTAATATAAGGAACATTAAACTCAAAGTTAGAACATTATCTTAAAATATACTTTTATAGGGCCTAGAAACAAATAATCAATATTATATTTGAACCTTATCTGTTATATATTGGAAATCTTATCAAAAATTAAAATCAAATAACTTTTAATTGTCAATATTAAAAATGTTTAATATAGCTAGAAACTTATTTTCATACCTTAGACTAAAATTGCATTCAGACAATAGTACTTTTTTTTATTTATTAAAATATTTTTTTAAATAAAATATTGAATATCTATTAGAAGTGTAAATAAAATATTTATTAAAATAAAAAAATAAATAAAAAACTCTTTTCCATTGCAGGTGACGAACCTGAACAACCACATGAAGTCGCACCACAAGGTGCAGCAGTACTGCTGCAACGTGTGCAACAAGAAGTTCACGCAGGTGACCTCGCTGAACCAGCACCTGCAGGCGCACGCCGGGGTCACCGGCTACTACTGTCCGCGGTGTCCGGAGAAGAACTTCAAGCTGCAGTCGCAGCTGCACACGCACATGAAGACCCACGGCCTGGCCTTTCCGTACGAGTGCGACAAGTGCGACGAGAAGTTCCTGCAGCAGGCACACCTCGACCAGCACCTCAAGATGCACGACGAGTTCAAGTTCAAGTGCGACATCTGCCCGAGCAGCTTTAACCAGGAGTCGCTGCTGAAGAAGCACGTGCAGCGGCACGTCGAGGGCCGCTACCTCTCCTGTCCGGTGGCCAACTGCGCCGAGTCCTTTGCGGTGCGCCAGCACCTGTCCAAGCACCTGCTCACCAACCATGCCCACCACGAGTTGCCGCCGCCGAAGCGCTCCAAGAAGACGGGCACTCTGCAGACGTCGCAGCCGCTGGCGATGATCGGCCAGCCGTTGTCCCTGCAACACACGACGGGGCAGCGTGAGTAGAAGCTACTAGCTACTGCATAGAATACTCGAAAATATCTAATTAAAATTGTGTTTACTCCAACAGGTGGGCGTCCGCCGAAGAACAAGAACAAGGCGACAGCGCTGGCCGCCACGGCCATCAAGATCGAGATCAACGAACCGCTCCACAGCCAGCATATCAGCAGTGTCAGTGGCCTGTCCATCCAGCAGCAGATCAACCAGCACATGCAGCAGCAGGCGGCCCAGCAGCAGGCGCAACAGCAGCAGCAGCAGCAACAGGCGCAACAGCAACAGCAGCAGCAGGCGGCGCAACAGCAACTGCTGCACCTGCCGATGGGACAGGCGGTCAAGGCGCGCTTCATACCCACTAAGTAGGTTAGTTAAGGATGGAAAGGTCTCTCTTAGCTTAAGCCCCCAACGATCAGCTGCTAAAGTCCCCTGATTAGCATAGCCATAGCCAAAAAGTAGCATCACATCCAAGAAACAAACACACACTCGCACACACAAAATACCATGAAATATGATATTGCGGATGCTTCTGAAATGCCTAGAGATCTCTGAAATGGAAAATTGTAAATTAGTTTTATTTTACTTGCGAATTTCTAGGTTGTGTTGTTTTTCCAACTGTTTGTAAAGATGAAATTTCATATGTACCGAAGGTTTTTCAAGGCCAACAATTATTTTTCCCCATTAAAAGTGTTTATAAATGCAAGTCATTCAAAAAGAAAAAAAAGTATGATTTTGAATAGGTTGTTTTAATTTTTTATTGACTTTTTCAGTACAGTTTTTTCAGTTTCCCTTTTACAAACACTTTGAAAAATAACATGACTTGAAAATTTGAAACGCAATATTACTTTTGTATTGAATTATTCAAACGACACAGCAAAATCAGTTTTGAGATCAGCGTGGAGATTTCTGAAGCATCCCGAATTTAGAGTCGGCGGCAAGCTGCTGGTTCAGTTTGGTGTCTGTCTCCATTTTCCGGTTCTAAATTTACCAGCCAAAGCAATAGACAAACCAAATGCCCCCGGAATAAATTGAAAGTAAACCAAACCGCTATGTATAACATCTAGAAAGAAAAACGCAGCACCAGATGGACAGACAAAAACACAAACGGACTTAAAATTATGCACATAAACACACACATCTTTATATACATATATATTATATATACATGAGATCAGGTTGAGAAATCTGCAACTTAAATCGAATTAAAATTTTAATGTAATGCAAAGGCACAGCGAAACAGAAAATAAAATGTTGAAAAAAATCCGAAAGCAAATACAAATTAACTACGATTAAAATTACGCATAGAGAAAGGCAACAAAAATAATTCGATTAAATTTGGTATGTATTTATGTTAGGCATTAGCTTAAGTGTTTTTATTTTTTTTTAATAAATCATTACAAAAAAAAAGGAACCTAAAGAAGGGAAGCAAGTTATAACGAGAGTTGTTTTTCTAAAGGCGCTTGGCTTATAAAATGCATTAGTTATATATAATACATATATAATTTATTTGCAAATACATTCCATTTAAAAAAGATAATAAATTTACATTGAGCTTAGGCTAGACGAGCAGAAGCGATGAGGCTAACGAGAAACGATCAGCGGGCTCAATTCGAGATGAGTATGTTTGGCTCGATGGAGTGCAGGACGTTGAATCCCTTGTGAAGGATGCAGGTGCGCTGGACGCCGCAGGCCACCAAAAAGTGAGAAAACTGTAGCGAAAGGCAAACAAAAGATTAGTTTTGGTTACTATAGGTATAGAATTCCCACCTCCACGGAGTGCTGATGGATGTTGCTCACGCAGACGACGATCTTGCCACGGAGAAGCGCCTCCAATTGGGGCACTTGCAGCGCCTCCAGTCGCTGCTCGCCCAGCTGGACGGTGGCGAAGGGAATGTTGATGCTGTGCGGCACATGGACGCGTCCGAACTCCACCACGCTGCGCAGATCGACGAGGATTAGTTCGGCCGGTGAATGAACGAGCAGGAAGTGCACGTCCTTGGCGCTGATCCGCGGGCACTGCTCCTGCTGCAAATGCTTCAGCTCCACGTCCGCCACGCCAATGTCCTAAAAAGGGTTAGAAAATTAGAAGCCATCTAATATCATAGCTTTCCACTCACCAAAGCCTGTGGCGGCTGGAGGCGCAGCGCGTGCTGGCGATGGGTAATACTCTTCGGCGTGGCCTCGTACATCTTCTGCGACTCCAGCACACAGCCATCCATCACGATGTCCGGCAGATCCGAGAAGAGCAGGATGCACTCGTTGAAACCGGAGGTGAGCAGCGTGCTCCGCAGCTGGCGCAAGATGGCAATGCCGATGAACAGCGGATAGGAACTGTCGCCCAGCATGAGTTTGTCCCACAAATGCAGGATCTTGTGCAGCGGGAAAACATCTGGCATGGGAATTACACAAGTTATTTAGGTTAAAAACAGATAATTTGAACTAAAACCCACGCGAGAACATGGTGAGGAACCAGGGTATGGCAAATAGCTCTGGGATAAAGCTAATGCTGGCCAAATGCTGGGCGAGCAGCGGCTCGTGGAAGGCAGTCAGCTGGGAGAACTTGCTCAAATACTCCTTGATCACCGCCGAATTGTCCTTGAGAAAGAACCACTGCAGATACTTTGGAATGAACTTGAACAGGCTGAGGAAGGCGAGTTCTGTGAAAGATAACAAGGATTATTTTTGGGAAACTAAGGAAAACTTTTATAAGTTTTATTTTAAAAATCACACTTTAACAGTTATTTTCTGATTTGTAAAGTAAAACTCAAACTAAACTGTTATTTTTTGAGTTTAATAATAAAAGTTGACAAATAACAGTTATTCGTCATGATCAAAAATAAAACTCAAACTTGATTTATGGCGATTTTGTGGGTAAAATAAATTTTAAAAAAATATAGTTATAAAATATGCGCGGTTGCCTTTTTTAACAAATTTTTCGTAAATTATATAAAACACGGTTAGCATGTTTCTTTTTAATTATTTAATTTTTTCAAACATGTCAAGGGAATAACTGTTATTGAGTTTTATTATAAAAATCAAAAAATAACAAGAGAGAACGCTATAGTCGGGTTCGTGTCCCGACTATCTAATACCCGTCACTCGGCTAAAAGGAGTGCGAGGGAGATGGATATATATTTTTGGATTGCGTATAACTTTTTAATGAATGGTCCGATTTGAAAAATGTCTTCTACATTTTGATAGGTATAAATATACACAACAAAATTCCATTTATACTTCTCGGAAATTTTTAAAGGTGTGGCCGCCAGACACATTTTAAAATCGTTAGTGGGCGATTGTGGGCGTTAGAGAGGGCGTGGCGCTCGTCTGAAATAAACTTGCGCTGCGTAGGAAGACCAAGAATATGTGTGGAAAATCTCAACCTTCTAGCTTTTGTAGTTTCTGAGATCTCAGCGTTCATACGGACAGACAGACAGACAGACAGACAGACGGACAGACAGACGGACAGACGGACATGGCTAGATCGACTCGGCTAGTGCCCCTGATCAAGAATATATATACTTTATGGGGTCGGAAACGCTTCCTTCTACCTGTTACATACTTTTGCACGAATCTAATATACCCTTTTACTCTACGAGTAACGGGTATAAAAATCATTACGGATTTGTAAACTACAATGGCTAATAAAAATAGTGGTGTATTTAAATATTATTTTGAACCTTTCCAAGTGACAATAACAGTTATTTTCGGTGCCTGGGAAAATCCCAACCGAACCCACCTTCATTGTTAAAGTTGAGATAGAGAAAGGGCGCCGTCAGCGAGTCCAATCCCTGCCAGTAGACATACTGCGGATGGGCAGTGACCCAGGCCTTGAGCAGCCGCCTCAGCTTGCGATGGCCGTCCGGCGAGGAGAGCAGCTCATCGTACTGATGGCACCGCGGTATGTCCACCTCGATTTGCCGATCGGTGCTGGTCGCCGTGAACTTGTCTATCTTCGCATAGCTGCCATTGGGCACCACCTCCAGGAGGGCAGCCCAAATGGGACCCCTCAACAGCGGCGGCACATCCACCGCCGCCTCGCTTCGCAGCTGCTCCGAGGTGTGCGGATAGCCCTGCAGGAGGCGCGTGAACAGGCGCACCCGCTGGAACTGATACTCGATGTCCTTCTCGCGGATCACCAGCGGCAGCTCCTGCAGTTCGCGGGCAAAGTGGGCGGGAAAGCGCGGCGAGTGGAGCAGCGGAAAGTAGACGCCGGCGGGCAGGCGACTCAGTCGCTGGAGCAGCGCCTTCAGGCGCAGCGGCACCACACGATCGTCCATCAGCTGCGCCTGGCTGCGACCCGGACAAACGCTGGCGCCGCTCAGGCGAACGATCTGAGGGAGGCCCAAAATGGGCGCCTCGCTGCGGATGAGACCCTCCTTCTTGAGCTCCGCCTGCACATCGCCGCCGGCCAGCTGCCAAAGATGGTAGATCTGGGATAAAGGACAGCGCAGGAGCAGCGGCAAGTGCTCGACTGCCTCGGGTTGACTCCTCTGCTTCGGAAGTTGCAAGAGGAGGCCCTCGAAAACGGGATGACTCAAGAGCTCCTCCGGCAGAGGCCTCCTTTTCGGCAGCACACTCAGGCAGCTTTCCAGCAGCTGTCGCAGACTGCTGTCCATTTCCGCATACCGCTCGTGGCACTGATGCTCCCGCGCAATCTTCTCCAGCACCCCGTTGCTCCTGCCGAAGGCCAGGATCTTCCGCACCACATTCGAGAGCTTCAGCTTGGGCCAGAGTTCGATTTGGAACAGTAGCTCAACGATCATGAGGGCCAGGGCCCAAATATCGCTCTTCACATTGCCATTCAGACCGAGCAGTCGCTCGGGAGCCATGTAGCGAATGTTGCCGATGGGAAAGGGCACGTAGGCACCGCCCTTGGTCATGTGGTGCAGCCCGTAGTTGAAGAGCTTCACCCGCTGGCCGTCGGTGGAGATGAGCACGTGCTTGGGCTCCAGGTTGTGGGCCACCAAATGGTGTTGGCTCAACACGTTAATGCCGCAGGCCACCTGGTAGAAGATCCTCAGGATCTGGGCAATGGCCAGCGGAGGGTGGCGCTTGGCATAGTCTTCTAAAGACAGTCCCAGGTACTCGGAAACCACAATGGTGCGCTCTAGAAAGATTGGGTTTTGAAATTAATTAATTAAAATTTATTTATTACGTCAAAAAAATATTAACTTCATTCTTGATTAAATATTTAGTTGTAATATTATTGAATATTTTAGTTTCAACAGTTAGGTCGGAATTAAAAACACTTTTTTTATGTAATATATTTTTAGAACCTGATAGCCTTAAGACAATTGGATAATATTTGCTATATATTTGTTAGGTTCCATTTTTTTAATAATAATAACTGTCATAGGAATAGAGTGTTTAGATGATTATGATCATAATTTTTTGAAGGTTATTAATAGTTAATAGAAATATAACTAATCGAAGAATTAGTGGGTGTTTTAAATTATATTTTATATGCGAGTTTGATGATTATTAAAGAACGCTTGAAATATTAGTTTCTATGCTTTCATAACTATTTATGTGCATATTTGGTATAAAACAGTTTGTTAGGACTAGCTTTATAATAATTATAACTGACATAGGAATAGTATGTTTAGATGATTATGATCATAATTTTTTGAAGGTAACTAATAGTTACATGGGATAAGACACTTTCCAGGGGAACTATAACTATTTGTAGAATTAGTGGGTGTTTTAAATGATATTTGGAATGCGTGTTTAGATGATTATGATCATAATTATTAGTAGTTACTTGGGATAAGACAGTTTCTTGGAGATCTATAACTATTCGTAGAATTAGAGGGTGTTTTAAATAATATTTGGTATGTGGGTTTAATAATTATTAAAGAATTAATTAATTAAGAAATTAGTTTCTAATCTGTTAAAATTATGTATGTACATATCCCATACTACTCAAATTAATGGGTGTTTTGGGATGCTGCTTGGGCTTAAGACTTATCTAGACCGGAACTGGATCTTCCCTCAACCCCTTAAACCCCCTCAACCCACCGTGCTTGCCGCGGATGACGTCCAGGTACTGGCACAGGTGCTCGTCCTGCAGCTCCTTCAGTTTCTGGGCCCTCCCGAGGATCGCAATCGAGTTGGGCGTGAGGGGCAGTCCGTTGCTGCCGCAGACGTCGCCGGGATGCAACTTCGCGAAGAAGGTGACGGCGCACAGGCGACTCTCCCTTTCCCGCTCCCGCGTGCTGCCCATCGCCTCGCCGGTTGATCACCGATTTCCCAATCAATGCGAGTCAGTGCAATTTTCCAGAATCCACAATCCAAATCATCAGCAACAATTTAATTTTGTTTTGTGGCAAAAACAGCTGATGGCGTTGCCAGACCGTGCCGACCGAGTGCAACGCCCCCCATTTTTGGCTGTTCCTAAAAATGTATGAAAAGTAGACACCTGAAGTTTTTATCGCCATTACTTAAGTAATATTTATCTTACAGCTAAAACCTATAATTTAAGTTGCTTTTTATAAACTGAGCAACAGTTAAAAACATTCAATATGATAGCGTTGCCAGACTTTAATACGCTCCCTCTGTAAATTCAATTGAATTGAATAAATTCAGCTACCCCGAATTGTTTTTAACTGACATATCAGTAACGATTATTTAAAATTAATTAATATCAATTAAACAATTTAATTCCAGGACCCCTGACCCTTTATATGTAGACTCCAATTTGATTACAGTAAAGCAAGACAACATTTATTAATTTGTTAAATTAATATACCCTGTTTAAAATATTTTTATTTATTTAAGCATACAATACTTAATTTTGAATATGTACTGGACCGCAACATCTGGCAACTCGCGCCCAACTGAAATGTGGCATCACTGAACTGATGTTACTGTTTATTGTCGCATTGTTGTTGTTGGCGCTGCTTCTGCTTATTGTTGTTGCTGCTGCCACTTGCGATTTTGTTTTTATTGCGCACTCGAAATTGTTTTGTTATTTAGTGGCGATACGATACAAAAAGCGCTTGAGATGGTGCAAAATCGAGCGCATTTAGGTTTAGTTTAAGTTAGTCGCTCGTCGTGCGTGTGTGTGTGTGTGTGTTTAATCGCAGCTGTTAAATGCAATTTGGCAATTGCAGTTGCAATCTGCAAATGTGAATGAAAATCGAGCGCAATAAAAGGACAGCAATTAAAATCTAAGTTCAATATGTCGCTTTTTGTGGAGTACACGGATCCCAAATGGCGGGACTTGGATATGCGCGCGTTGTCCGTCGACCAGTTCTACCTGTACCTGCGATCGCAGTTCACCACCGAGAGCTACCTGTACTCGCTGTCCGACGAATGTTACACGGTAATAAATACTATATGTAATAATAGTCGCGCAATCGGTTTCACTTTCGATTTATTGATGCCATTTTATTTGGATTTTTGACTTTAATTCGCAGTGTCCGTACACCAAAGTGAAAGCTCTGCCCGCTGCCGACGTCGCTGCCGGCGTCGATGAACCGTTACGTTTGAGTTCGGCATTTGGGCTGAATTTCAAAATATACGAACACGATCAGGGTCACTATGCCTACGACAATGTGTAGGTATCACTGTACAGTGGTCACTCGCTGTGCCATCGAATAATGATTACAAAGCAACCCAGGGTCACATGGTACAGTGGCCACTGGCTACGGGCAAATAGGGGAAAAAAACGGCAAAAAACGGGACTTTTTTAAAAAGATAAACATTCTTTAATATGTTTTCAATGTATCCCAATTTAATCAAAGTGTTTTAACATTTAAAGTTCTCTAGTATATCGTTATTATTAAATTTAGCTTTTTTAAAAAACTAAAATTTATCCCAAAATTTTATGATAATATTAATATCTCTAAAATTCATAATTGTCTGATGCTTTGACAATTAAGAATATTCCTACAAAAATGTCAATTATTTTGTTCTATACAAAGATATTGTTAAATTTTATTCAACTTAAAATTGAAATTAAAGAATATTCCTACAAAAAAATAATTTTTTTCTATACAAAAATATTGTTTAATTTTTTTCAACTATACATTGAAAATTAAGAAAATTCCTACAAAAATGTCAATAATTTTGTTTTATTCAAAAATATTGTTTAATATTATTCAACTCTAAATTGAAAATTAAGAATATTCCTAAAAATATGTCATTAATTTTGTTCTATACAAAAATATTGTTTAATTTTATTCAACTCTAATGCTAATCCCTTGGCAAGTCATCTGTAGCCATTCACCACTGTCTTCGCTTATGATTTGCGTATGTGTGTTAACTAGTTTAAGCGAAACTGCTTAGCAATGCATACCAATTGCAATTACACCTGTTCTTTTCAAGTTTAATTATTAAGCTCTATTCGATTTCCCCTCCCCTCCCCGCAGCTCGTCGCTCTGCTGGCTGCGTCGCACCGATCTGCAGGAATTCGGCGTCTATAACCTGACCCTCCAAGCGAATGGGACCTGTGCCTTTGCGGTGGACAAGCCGGGCGTACCCATTAATTACGGTGAGTGCTTTGGTAATCCGTAATCCGCATTCCCTAATCCATAATCCGCAAGTGCCCCATACACTTGACCGTGCCACTCCAGATATACGAACATATTACTTATCGGCATTACCCTATTTCCCGCAGCTTTCCTCGCCGTTTTCGTGCTGGTTGCCGCCCTGCTAATCGCCCTGAAACTTGTGAGCTGCGCCTGGCGTTGCTATCGCTATGACGAGGCCACCGCTGCCGCCGACAGCATCGGAGAGGCGGCCACCAAGGCCACCCAGAGGAAGCGGCTCCGCAGCCTGGACACCTTCCGCGGGTAACCGGGGATTCCACAGGGAACAGGCATGGGTCCTGCATGAACTGATTCAGTGAATTATTTTAAAGTTCTTTGTTCTATCTGAATGAATTAATTAGAATTTTGAGTTTAATAGAATTGAATGAATTCCGAAATTAATGAGAATTTTGAGTTTAACAGAATTAAATGTAATTGAATTTTGAGTTTAATCGAATGAATGAATGACGTGAATTCCAAAATAATTCAAATTATTATTTTTAATTTTTTCGAATCATTTTGAATATTTTTGTTTTATGAGAATGAATTAATTAGAATTTTAACTTTAATAGAATTAAATGAATTTGATTTTTGAGTTTAATCGAATGAATGAATAGCATGAATTCCGAAATAAGTCAAACGACATTCTCATTTGATGAAGAAAGGGACATCATTTTGTGGTTCAATCTGCCTGAATTTTATACACTATGCAACTATGTAACATAGATTTTTCAAAAATTTTCGACTTTTTGTTCTCAAAAGAAAGCACAAAAAATTCTAGTAACTGCAATTTCTAATAGCTTAAATCGGAGATTTTCCAAGTATCCTAATGAAATGATTTGAAAACAATTTCAGTGCTAAACTTTTTATGCTGAAGAATTCGCGAGATAGTTTTCTTTTTTTTTTTATTTATATCAAGGTTTACAAACTTTAGTTATTGTGCTTTTCCCAAACTTATTCGGATCTCTTCCCCCACAGACTTTCGATCGTTCTGATGATCTTCGTGAACAGTGGCGGCGGCGGCTACACCTGGATCGAGCACGCGGCCTGGAACGGCCTGCACCTGGCCGACGTGGTCTTTCCCTCGTTCCTCTGGATAATGGGCGTGTGCATTCCGCTCTCCGTCAAATCGCAACTCGCACGAGGCAACAGCAAGGCGGGGATTTGTCTGCGCATCCTGTGGCGATCGATCAAACTCTTTGTCATCGGCTTGTGCCTGAACTCGATGAGTGGCCCGAATCTGGAGCAACTGCGTCTCATGGGTGTCCTGCAGCGATTCGGAGTGGCCTTTCTGGTTGTCGGTGTGCTGCATACGTTGTGCAGCCGCCGGGAGCCCATAAGTCCGCAAAGATCGTGGCAACGAGCCGTGCACGATGTGTGTCTCTTTAGCGGAGAATTGGCGGTGCTTTTGGCACTGGTGGCCACCTATTTGGGCCTGACCTTTGGCCTACGCGTGCCGGGATGTCCGCGTGGCTATCTGGGACCCGGTGGCAAGCATGATCATAATGCCCATCCCAATTGCATTGGCGGAGCGGCGGGCTATGCTGACCTCCAAGTGCTGGGCAATGCGCACATCTACCAACATCCCACGGCCAAATATGTCTACGACTCCACAGCCTTCGATCCGGAGGGTGTTTTCGGTGAGTTGGGATCAAACGATGCAGCGGCGGCCTTAAAAAAGTCCAACAATAAAGTCATAAAGCCAAAAACTGTAAGAAAAAAGGAAGTTTCGTTTGATTTATTAAATTAAATTAAACCTATTTTTATTTGCTATTTAAAAAAATTCTTGTTAAAACCAGGGACTGCAAATAAGTGTTATGTCTTTAAAAAAAATTGAAGGCCCAAACAGCGTCCAAAAAATATGGGAAAAATACCACATACTTAGTTGGGCTCGTCAAATGGAAAAATGTGATAAACCTTTTTTTTTTAAGTCTTATTCTCCAACTTTTATTATTTAAATTGAAAAATAATTATTATTTTATAATTTTTATTTTAAAAATCATAAGAATTACGATCCCTGGTTAAAACAATTTCGTTGCCGCTGCAACGTGTACAATTTAATCCTGAAAAACTCCCTGAATAATCTATATTTTTCTAAACCTTTACAGGCTGCATCCTGAGCGTGGTGCAGGTGCTCCTGGGCGCCTTTGCAGGCGTTACCCTGCTGGTGCATCCCACCTGGCAGTCGCGGATCCGTCGCTGGATGATCCTCGCCATTTTCCTGGGCCTCATTGGCGGCGCCCTGAGTGGCTTTTCCCGTGAAGGCGGCGCCATTCCCGTCAACAAGAACCTCTGGTCGCTGTCCTTCGTCTGCGTGACCGTTAGCCTGGCCCTGGTGATCCTGTCGCTGCTCTACTACTTCATCGATGTGCGGGAAACGTGGAGCTGGTCGGGCTATCCGTTCACCGAATGCGGCATGAATGCCATTGTCATGTACGTGGGCCACTCGGTGCTGCACAAAATGCTGCCCTGGCATTGGCGAATCGGCGAGATGAACACGCACTTCATGCTCCTGCTGGAGGCCACCTGGAACACCCTCGTCTGGGTGGGCATCGCCCTGTACCTGGACGCCCAGGAGTTCTATTACAGCCTGTAATTCCCTATATGCACAATTCAATTGCCAAATAAATTAGCGTTTTGTACATAGATTGATTTTTACGGAGAAAGCACAAAGTATTTGTAACATAATCCGAATTTTCGTTGTAGGAACGCAAATTAAAATCAAATATCAATATAAATAAACTATAAACTATGAATAAAATTCCAAATAATTATGTTTCAAATATTTTATTTGTATTTAAATTAAAAAAACATTTTCTTTTAACACACATTCGTTTTTTTCCGTTTTGTTTGTTTGTTTAGGCATCATTCCTAAGGCTACAATTTGTATGTTTCTGTGTATTTTGGGTGGTTTAATTCGCTCTCTCTTTCCCAGCTGCGATCTTGAAGCCTCGGCGGAAAGGGGCAAACTTTGTGTTCGATTACAAACTACTAGGGCACTGAACTACTACACGTCCAACTACTACGATAAATCGCTTTTAAAAATGCTCTCCGATCTGCGATCCGTTCTATCCTCGCTCAACATGGTAACGTACGAACTGCAGACGATGACTAAGTTGGGCAACTAGACGAAAACAAGTCATTAGGGCTGGCTTAAATCGTATGTACATAAACTAACGTCTAAGTTAAGGTGTTCTTGAATCGTTAAATACTACCCTAAAATGATATGGGGAGCTGCTGCTTCGGCTGAGTATTCTACAAAAGACATTGTAGGGGGGAGGAGATGGATACAAGTAAACTGCGTTGTGTATGTACATTATGCACTGCTTTGGGGGCACATCTTAAAATAAATATTGTATGGGGAAACTCGTCCATAAACGTTGAGATAAAAAATGAAAATACAAAAAAAAAATTATAAATTGATGGGAGGGAGGTGGTGGTTGGCATTCTGTGGCCATTAAATAGGTAGGTCGAGTTATAACAAATGTAACAGGGGGCGGGAAACTCCCTGCGAGACGCTAGGCATCTCCTATCTATCTATCTCTCTCTCTTTCGTTCTCGTCCTCGTTCGCTTAGACGATTTTGGCTTCTGGAGGAGGAGGAGGAGGAGCGGGTGGCTCCGCCGCCGCCGCTGCCGTTTGGCCCACAAATTTGGCGGGCTTTAGCAGTATGAACTTGGAATTGGGCACCGCCGCCACCTTCTTGCCCACCGACGACGGCGTTATGGTCACCGTGCTGGGCGCAATGGCGTTCATGGCGGCCGTCTGATTGGTGGCCGCCAGCGAGGAGGCCGGCAGTATGGTGGTCACCCCGTTCTCATGCTGAATGCTGCTGGCGCTATTGAATATTGCACGCATCTTATTGCCGTTGCCCTGAGATCCGCCTAGTACGTTGATTTTGAGAGGTGCCGCTGCAGCTCCCGATTCTCTCTGCTGCACAATGCGTGCCGTAAACTCATTGCCAGCCAGCACCAGATTCTGCGGCTGTCCAGACAGAGGCAGGCCGCTGGCCAGGATCAGCTGCATGCCACCCGTGGCTCCACGCAGCTTCCACTCATCCTGCTGTAAAAGCAAAAGGGGGGGATAGTTAGTCACAGTCACTATTTAAATATTTACAAGGAACACCTACCGTTGGTGGACTCACAGACTTGCGCTCCAGCACATGCTCATCGAATCCCGAGTCCGAGGAGTTGTCGTTGAACTTGGTGGCCACCGAGGACGAGGTGGAGCAGTTGGAGGAGGAAGACAGCGACGAGGGCGAGGCAGCGCCCACGGGAACCGTTTGGGGGGTCTGCGGCTTGGAATGTGGTTGGCCGTTCGTTTCAGTCTTGCTCAGTGGAATTGGACTTATACTATGGACATCGCCCTCCGGAAATGTCTCTGATTGTCGCATGAAGAACAAATGGTGCTTCTTGAGTGGCCCCATCTTTGGTCCCTGGCCTAAAACTTGAGTGGCGGTGGGCTGAGCGATGGGAATGGGATTGGCGGCGGCAGCGGCGGCGACGGCGGCCTCCACCTGCTGCTCCAAATGCTGCTGCTTGAGTAGCAGTTGCTGGTGGCGCAGATGCTGGTGCTTCTCGCACGGCTGGTACACATCCGGATCAATGATGTAGCAACAGCTGCCGAGAGCCAGACTCTGGAAGACCACTCCGCAACAGACTTCCAGACGGACGAGATCACTTTCCTCGAAGAAGGGCACATTGTCGACGGCCCGTCGATTCTTTTGCGGCGGCAATTGACGGCGTCGCTTGCTGCCGGTCAGCTTGGGACGCTTGCTGCTCTCCGAGCATCCGGAAGTGGCCAGAGCAGCGGCCGCCGTCCGCTTGCGAGTTTGATAGGGCGCCCCAGAGGGTCCGGGTCCAGAGGATCCGGGTCCCATCAATCCTGGCATCTGCTCATCGTCGTAGCTCTCGTTCGAATCGCTCGGCTGATGCTCGGAGGTAGGCGAAGTGCTGCTGGGGCGATTGATGACACTGGAAACAGATATAGCGGTTTCTGCTGCTGCGGTTACTTTGCCCTTGCGATTCTTCTTAAAGATCTTGGCGAACTTTTCGGGCAGAAATGAATTGCCGCTACCATTGGCGCCCTTGCCCTCCGCCGCCTCGGCGTTGTCGCGCTTCTTCTGCTTGGCCAGCGACTTGGTTCCGGGTCCGGCACGGGCATCCACCACCTGTGAAGAGAAAAAAGGGATTAGTTGGAGAAGGTCCGCTTTTAAATGCTAGTTTTTATTTCATAACAAAATTAAATTCAAATTTTCCACATTTTAAATTTAGGAAATACCTGTTTATATGTGCTTTTTAAACTTTACTTTAATTTATTTTTATTTTAATTTACTTTATTTTGAGTGATTAACACATGTCGTATTTCAAAACCAAACGAAATTTACACTTTCACAATGAATAATTCACAAAAAAAATATAATTACATAAAAAAAATCATCATTTTATAATTCAAAATAATTTTGAATGGAGATAGTTACAAATAAATGGTTTCAAAAAATTCACAAAAATTATACAAACAAGCGAAATAAATTTAAAATTCATTTAGATTACAAAGAACACATGAAAATCCTTCTTAAATAATCTAATTTACGAGTCAACAGAACTTAGAATGGAGATAGTTACAAATAAATAGTTAAAAAAAATTCACATAAATTATACAAAGCGGAATAAATTTAAAATTAATTTCTATTACAAACTAAATCCTGGGCATTATCCTATGCTACTCACATGACCCCAGTGGCGCTTGCTCCCGACAGGCAGACGCTTGTATCGCTTGACCAGGAGAACGCAGGCGTTGCAGATCTCGCCGTTGCGGGGCTCGTGGAGATTGAAGCACTGCATCGACTCCTTTTCGTACTTCCGGGAGGCGGTGAAACGGGAGCTACTCGATTTGGCCCGGCAAATGCAGCATCCATCCGCGGAGCGGTAGACGCGAGGCTTGTGGAAATTAAACATGGCTTTTTCGTATGTTTTTGGATGGAAATAACACAGGTTTTACTGTGTCTATTTGTGCTTTAAATTTTTTGTCGCTGGTTTTTTGCTTTTTGTGCTTTAAATGATGGATTTTTTAGAGTTTTTTTTCTTTGAACTGTTTAAAAAGGTTTTTTTGAGTGCTTTTGCGAGTGTTTGGTGTGTGTTACGGTTGCGGTTTTCACTGAAGTTGTGCCAGTGTTATTTGTGCGTAATCATTCCGTTTGCTGTCGTTGTTTTGAGCGCTTGCATTGCCAACATCCATTGCCCAGGCTTCACTGTAGTTGGCTGCATTTGTGCTGAAAAAAGGGAATAGAAAATAGTGTTAGGAACTGAGTGTCTCTAGTGTTGATAAACGACATTCTAATTTTTAAAAATGTTTGACATTTAAATTTTTTGACAGCCTGACAAAATGTAATTGCCTTTGAATACTTGATAAAACTTGCTATCAAAAAACCACAAAACCAAAAAAAAAAGGAAGAAGAAAAAAACCAGTCCGCGCGACATTTTGAATTTTCGCCACTTTTAAACCAGCAGGGAAAACAACAAAACGAAATGCTTAAATATCTTATCAGCGGAGCGTAGCAAGTGGTTTATTTCCAGGGCAGTGTTAATTAAATTTAGCAAACATGTTTTAAATACAGCAACCGTATAACAGCAACAAAAACAATACTCAAACCGGGGGATCAATGGGGGGTATGCGAGCGAGATAGCACTATGCTAAGCCACGCGCGCGCCTCACAAGTACAAACGCAACTTTTTTTGTGTTGCCTGGCAATACTTTTGTATATGTATATATCGAGTGCAACTTTATTGTTGTTTTTTCTTTGGGGGGACTTGATAAACAAAGCGCGAAAAAGGAGCACTTAAATACGATACGCACGCATACGCGCTCTGCCGTTGCATTTGTATTTGTATTACAACTGCTCCTCTCACTCGCAACAACAATAAAGCTGGCAGAATAAAAAGAGAGCCGCTGTTTCTGCTTCTTCTTCCAGGTGCGTTGCTGTTGTTATTTTTTTGGGGACACTGATTTTTTCAGCTCAAAAACCACTTTTAATTGTGTGTATGTGTGTATTTTATGCACCGGCTGTGTATGCATGTGTGTAGTGGTCTCGCAATTCACTTCATTTTTTTTGGAGATGTGGTGAAAATGCGGCTAAATTGTCCAACTTTTCTATTATTAGCCCGTTTTGCCACGAATTCATTAAGATTTACCTTTAATAAACACACACTTGCTCGTATTTCTTCACAAAAACCAAAGCACTATTTTTTGTTTTAAATTTAAAGGAAAGCGGCGGAGAAAAACGAAAACGCGTCTGCACGCGAGGAACACAAAGGCGAATTGAAGAAACTGACGAAAATCGACGCATGTACGAAATTGTGTACAAAGCGAATGCAGTGATAACGCGAGCAGCTGAGCATCGCCGTCTCGCTCGCACGCGCTCTCGGTGCGTGTGTGTACGTGAGAATGCGCGCAGCAAAAGCAACAGCGAAAAATTCCGGTTGTGAAAAAAACAGAAGAAACGTTCGTTACAACCAGGGGTGGAACTGAAGGGGGATTCCTGTTAAAAATACCGATTTCTTAACGAAAACAATATTTAAGTAGGAGTATTGATCAGTGCAAGACTTAAATATTAAATACAATTTTTAACCCCCTTGAAAACAAATTTTACATACACCACTGGACCTAGCAGGACTGTTGCCGGCAGAGTTGCCACCTGACAACACAACCAACAAAAGAATGCAAATCGAGAAATGCAAATATTCAACGCAACATTATAACACGTCTTTTGTTGATATTCTTTGTTTGCTCGCGGACTGATAAAGATAAGGCTGAAAACGTGCAGCGCAGCTGTTGTGTCTTATTAAATGTGGCTATTTATAGCGGTTTTATTGCAGCGCCCACACGCTTTTGTATGTGGATGTCTTTACCCCCCTTTCCATTTTTTTTGTATTTCTGTAATACGTGACCAGGCACACATAACAGACGAGGTGACAACTCTGCCCGGCCGCTGCTTTACAACACTGTAATGTTCTGCTCGCCTTGTTGTTGTTTTGCTTGCATTCCTCTTCGTCTTCCTCTTCTACCTTTTCGTCCGGCGAAAGTGGCCGAAAAATGGCCCCAACATGTTTTACATTTACACATGCACAACTGTGTGCGTAAGCGGTCTACGTGCCGAATTAAGGCAACATACAAAAAAACCCAAATTAAACTAGGTCGCTTTGCGTTTCGCTGTTGTTGTTGCTGCAATCAAAACAAATTGCAAGCCGCAAATGTAAATGAGAGAGTGTGTGTGTGTGAGCGACGCCTGCTTTGCCTGCTTCTTCTTCTTCGGCGGTCTTGCAAAATAACAAACTGTACTTGTGCGAAATTGAGCGTAAAAACAGAACAAATTAAGGCTCTCTCTCCGAAAGATAGATATAGTATTTAAACATATGTATTAAGCAGCTGCTGACCTTGTTTTTGTTATTTTGCGCCTACAAACAACGGAAAGTGAAAGACTCTGATTGGAATTCTCATAAGAATGTGAAACAGGTTGCGGGCACATAACGGTATACACACACACGCATTGGCCGATGAGGCGTAATAGCAAAAGCAAAAACAAAAAGCCGGAAAAAGAAAGTAAAAAGACAAAAAATTTAGTTTATATTTTTTAAGAGAGCGAGAGAGAACGGTTGTTAAGTAATAGATTTGCAGAGAAAGCGCGCGCAAAAGGTACAAAAAAAATAACACCTTTGTTTGTATTGTGCCACTTATTTTGACGCTTTTTGAATTTCCGCACAATTAATGGAGTTTCTTCGAGTTCAGGAGTTTTTGACATTGGAAGAGTTCAAGCGGCTTTTGTTTCTTGGATTTTGGTTTTTACTCATTTTCGATCAGCGAAGGTCAACAGCGAAACGAAAACCGACCAGCACGCACACCAACTCAGCCACACACAGATACATTCACCGCCTTAACTTGTTGTCATCTGTATTTTCTCCAGTTAAAATTTTCTTTGTTCTTAAAAACTTTTAACCACTTTTAACGTTTACCTCGATGGCTCTTTTATCACTCCTCGTATTTGTCACCTTTGTTTTCACTATAAACTCTACTTTATCGGCTTAAACTTTCGTCGCTTCCTTTTTGATTTTTCGAGATAGGGATGGTAAAACCGCGATGTCAGAAATTGATAACATGATATCGAACGGATAGGTGGTTGTATTCGCTGACATCGGAATGTGTATTTGCTGTTCCAGGAGTGTGTATTCGCTAACTACCATTTTTGAAATTCGATATCGATAGATCCAGCTGTCTTAGAAGTGTTGTTATCGATTGTGGTTGGTGTCTTCGCTATGTCGGGTGGGTGTCCAAAATTCCAGCTGTTTCACACCGATTGATTCTGTTGAAAGAGGCTATTAGTAGTGCAATATTAACTATTTATCTGTAATTAAAACTTCGATTATCCTACTAAAACTCTTTCTAAAATGCGAACTCTAAAATGGAACTCCATTCCCTCAAATTTCTTTAGGACAGAAATTTTTAAATATTGGCAAGAGTAATTATTATCTGTTCTTACTGAGCTAGAAGCAGTTATAAAGTGTTGTTAAGCAAAAACATTGGGAAGATCAAACTAATACGACATAGTTTTCAATCAAATTCAGTACATGCTTCAATATCAACAATCAACGACGCATCCATAGTGGAAACGGGGCCTAACAACTAACTGCTAACATTTAGGTGATGTGTAAACTCCGATAGTCGCCGTTGAACATCGATTCCAAGAGTTATCGAAACATTGATGGCCCCATCGACGTTTTGCCACCGCTATCACACATTCGTTGTTTTTTTTTTGCAGTGCGCTTCGGTCTTGTTTTCGTGTCCGTTTTCGGCGCTCCGTTCGTATGTTTGTCTCCTTTTGGCAGCCTGTTTTGTTTAACAAATGCCAGTAACAAGTTTTCGGTGAATAAACATGGGCCACAATTTTTTGGCTGCCAGCTGAATTTTCTTCTGTGATTTTTCTTTTTTTTTTGTCTAGTGCGCCGACGCGCCAGAAGTTAAAGTTCTTTTTTATGTTTTCCATTTAAAATGAAACGTGACTAGTTTGTTTTTAATTCGTGTGCAGCAGAAACGAGAAAAGGAAAAGGCGAAGAAGCAACAGGAGAAAAAGAGCAACAGTCAAGTGAATATTTTTTTTTGGTGGATGACGTCGCTGCCGCCGTTGCGCCGCCGCATTAGGTTGCTGTGTGCTTGTGTGTGGGCCCAGTGCATCGGTGTGAGTGTGGGAGAGAAAGAGAGAAAGGGCGGAGTAAAAGTATATGCGTGCAATTAGCATTTATTGCAATCACCATTTACAGCCCGCTATTGTTGTTTATTTCACCTTACTTCGCACAACAAACTCACACAAACGCATAGTGCAAAAACTAAGTGCAAAAAGGCGGCGGCAACAACAATTGTCTGTTAATTGCTGGATATTTCGTAATGCAGCAGCAATAACAACAGCAAACATTAATGCCACAGTGGGCACTCGCTGGGGTGGACCAATGTAAAGATGATAGGATTTTCAGTTTGTAACATATTTCATAAACTAAATTATCATTCTCGCCATATCAATACTAGCGGGTTTTTCGCAATTATTTAATTAATTAATTATTTAATTCCCATCAACGGGTAGCCCACTGTACTTGTAGTAAAGCGCCGTTACAGTCACAAATGTGTGTATGTACATATGTGCATCGAGCGACTGTTTTTTTTTTGTTCACTCCAAATCACACACTTTTATACATACACATATGTACGTATGCAACGCACTTGTCTTGTGCGTGGTTCATATTTTTATCTCCCTTCTCCCTTGCTCCCGTTTACAACAAAGATAGTGTCGCCGCGCTCTCTTACTCTCTTTTTGTTGCTTTTCACCTGCAGCTTTCGCTTCTGCTTCTTCTCTTTCCACACTGTATGTGTGTTTGTGAGCAACAGTGCCGTTATAAATTTGTTTGCCCATAAAACATTTTCCTTGCATTCGCCGGTGTTTGTAAATGAAAATCAGATTTACTACTACAATGTACCCACATCCACATCTCTTTCTTCCACTCACCATTCCAATCTCCCACTTCCCGTTTTACAGAGAGTGCAATACAAGTGCAATATTAATTAAGTAATAATAAAAACCTACATAAATGTATACCGAGTGCATATGTATGCGTGTGCAATACAAACGAATGACCATGTTATAGCCATACAAAATATAAAACAAAAACCATAAAACACCTCCCTCCTCCCCCCTCCCCAACAAAAAAATAAAAGAAAACAAAAATCTGCGAAACCTTCGACAATCATTGAGTTTTACTGTACTTGAAAAATGGACTGTGCCACGCGAAAACAACAACAATTACGGGCACATCATCAGCAGCAACAAATACAAAGGCAAACACATGGACGAAAGCGGCGGCGATTACAACAACAACAGCAAAGCCACTACTACCACCACCAACAACACGTGTGGCTTGTTGTTGGGATTTTGACAATTTTTTTGACTCAGGTGAGTGAGAAAAAGCAACCTAAAGATAAAGACAAAACCTACTGGTAAACCCGAAAAGTTTACCATTTTGGAAAAAATATTCAGGATTTTAATTGAACTTTTTAATACCAATTTGCAAAAATAAAGCATAAAATAATTAGTTCTATCTCTTCAATTAGAATACAACGTTTAATATAACATTATTAAAAATATCCTAATCAATTGTTTGTATTATTATTGTAAATAATTAAACAAATGTTGATAAAGAGGCCAAGAAATTATATTATATTTCTAGATCTTCTAAAATGCAATTACATTTGTTGCGTTGTTGTAACACAGGCTATTTTATAACTTAATCTATCTCGTTTGGGGTTTTTCCAAAATTGCACCTTAACTATTTTCAAATTGTATTGTCAGAAAATGTATTTTTTTTCAGTTTTTGCTCTGTTGCGTGCGTTTTAGGAACCCGTTTCGCCGGTTCTAGTTGGGTTCGGCTGTGCGTTATATTATTTCAATATCAGCCCGTTTAACCGCTCACTAAAATTAAACTAAAATCACACTAGATCCAGATTTTAAGTAAAACTTATCCGAATTATATAAATATTCAATTTTGGACTTTGCTCAAAAATGATTCAAGTTTTAAGCCTGGTTTCCTTGTTATTTGAACAATAATGATTAATATTTATACTATAGTAGGTATATAAATCTTTATAATTATAATTCTTAAACTTTAAAAGCTGAAAAGCTTTATAGACCTAAGGCATATGTTAAATGGTGTACTGTATTTGGGACTCGAGTCAATTTAAAATTAATGGCAGTCAATTTCTGACAGGTGATGAATCTGAATCCGGGAATTATAACCCCAAGTGTGTGTGATTTTTATGTGTGATTTGTGGGCCTATTGCAGCCATTACTCCTTGTTTTATTGACTGATTTTTGTTATTTTAGCCGCTGTTGTTTCGCTTACAAAACTCGTTTCGTTTCGTTTTGCATTGTTGTCGCATTGTTGAGCACAAGCTAAAGACTATAAAAACAAAACCCCAGAGCAACAAGTAAAAAGTAAAAAAACAAAATAAAAATAAAAAAAGAGTAAAAAGCGAACGCAAGTAAAACTCAAGGTTGGTTCTGATGTCGCTGTCATCGGAACTTCCTCACTCAGAAAAAATTCATTTCAAGTGATTCGGTACTTTAAACATAATATCAAAGAAATCCTGATTTGTTCAAAAAACAATAGTAATTGTAAACCAGAAAGTTTTTTTTAAAAACAATAAAAATTTTTAAACCAGAAAGTTTTTAAATTACTATTTTTTTTAATAAAAAATCATCCAGTAAAATAAGCTTTCTAATAATAGTTGATATAGTTGATTGATATAGTTCTCGAATCTTAAATTTTAATATTACAATGTATAGTTTATTATCGCCATTATTGCAGTGTACAACAAAGTCAGGCTGAATTCTTTTCTTTTTTCTGAATTCTTGGATAAAATGTTGTTTCAGTTTGGCTATATGTTTTATAACTCACGTGTATCTGCCGCCTTGACTTTGGCTTTCATTTTATCTGGGCATTGGCGCGATTGCGGATCGCGGGTCATTACGTGCCGGCTTATCGCCCGAACTTGGCCGAAAGTATTCGTATTACTAAGCGTCCCAAAAAAATGCTTATAAAAAATGGCAGTGAAGAAGAGTGGCGATGACATCAGCCGAGCTTTTTTCCGGGTGAAGAGAGAGTGGGGCGGAACGGTGACAGCGTAACCACAGAGTGTAAGTGTGAGTGATTTTGGATGGTTCGAAAAACCCAGCGATGGTATCATTAAACGGGCTAATCTCGATATAACTTGGTTTCCGTTAAAAATCTCTCTTGCAGGGCATATTTAACTTTAATCAATCACCCACTTTTGTTATCAAGTAAACAATAATCTTAGCTTTTGGTTCCGCTCTTTGGATACTAAGGGTATAGTATAGATCATAAAATCATTGATTTTCAAATAAATGTAAAAACTCGTATTCTTTCTATTGTCATTTTAAGAGAGCCATCCGAAAATTCAATTAGAATTGAGGAGATCAAACACAGTGCCGGCAATTAAGCTGATCCCTGAACTGCACCCAGTTTTTTTTGGGATAATATTGGAACTGTGTCAAGTGTTTGGAGATGTGTTGAGAGAAATTAACCAATCCACCCTAGAAATAACCAAATTGAAGTCGAAAAACTACTCAATTGCATTTGGGGATTCTCCCCTCTTTTCTTTTTGTTTATAATTTGTAGGATCGATGTAAAATTAACTTTAACTCAATTAATTGAAGTTTTGTTTTCTTTTTCTGTATTGGGCTTCTTCATTTTTTTTTTCGGATTCTTCAGATGCTTCTGTTTCTTCTACTTTCTTGTGGGTGCTTCTTTTTTATTACGTATTTTTCTTGTAGTGCCTGTTTTGCCTGCTTTATGGGTTGTTGGCACCTTCTTCTCCGTTTTCTCTTGTCTTTTTTTTTTTGTACGTATTACCATTGTTTATATGGCAGCTGAAGAAGCAGAAGAATTAGTTTGGAGTGGGGCAACGAGGGGTTAAAGAGAGATATTTACTACTAATTGGCATGCGGGTGGAGTTGGGTTAAATGGAGCACACACCCATTGGAATGCTAGAATTTCACATTATTTTATGTTCCACCTACATTTCAAAGAATGTCCAAGAAAAAAGACCAGTGAACTTTGGAAGAATCTGTGGCTTTCTCTCAGCAAACAAAAATAAATCAGCAAATAAATAAGACAGGAAGCGAATTCCATATGCAAAGTGACAACTCAAACAGAGAATCGGAGAATACTTATAAATATATGTACATATGTGTATATATCCATTTATGGCTTATTAATCTCTATTTGCACTTGACTATAGACCCCATCAACTGAAGTGTTCTAAGAATAGATATAACACAATCTTGGGGTCCTACAGTATAATTGATTCACTGGAGGGTCGGAACTCTTGCTTGTTTTGCTATTAAAGAAGGATTTTGTATTTAATTGACTTTATTTATTTACTTTTTGTGTAGCTTAAATGCAGGGCATATCGTTAAAATTCAGGTTTTGAAAAGCCTTTAATTTATATGACATTTTTTTCATATTTTTTGGTGCTGAGTTTACTGACTTATTTAAACCCATCAAATATTTGTATCGTTGGCTGTTGTTAAATGTCCATTTATCGACACAATATTATTTTGTTAAGCATTTTTTATAGAATTGCGTTTACATGCCATATTCAACTCTCATGACTTCTGGCTAATTTTTGTGCTGATCTCCAATTATTTTCGTTCGTTAATCGTTGTACCAAATTCTTGCTCTCTCTTTCTCTTTCTGTTCTGACAAAGCAACCACTAATTAATTGATATTAATTGCGGGGCCAACACAAAAAACTGGGCCAACTCGACCTGAACAGAAACGCCAACAACAAAAACAAAAATGAATAACCAGCTAGCGAAAAAAAAAGATTTGCTTGGACAAAATCAGTTAAAATTGCAGGTGGAAGAGGAGAGACTCAAAACGACAATTTGTTTATTGAACACACAAAAATATGGTTATAGCGAAAAAAAACTACGCACGACAAAAATTAAAGCAAAATTCAAAAGAAGCTTTTAGCTCACCTAACTGGTTTTGGTTTTTGATTTTGAATTGGATTTGTATTTTATTTGTATTTTTTTCGAGCTCTCCATCTCTTTTGCACGCACGTAAAAATAATTAGCAAGCAACCTACAGCGTTTTATACTTAAAAAAAATAAGCAAAAATAAATAAAATCACACATTCACAAGAAATACAAGCCTTAAATTCGATCTCACGCATTCCACGTTTGCGAATTCAATTTGCGTTGCGTTTATTTATTTTTTTTACCGCCCGGTTTCGTTTTGATATACGCGATATTTTCGCACGGACTCTATATTTTCTAATCACTTAGTGAATAACTATTACAATCGAGCTTACTTTATTTTTCTAATTATGAAGATTTAACGAATAGTTATATTGTGTATTTAAAGTTCAATGGAAAAATTCCAGTTAGCATGATTACAATTTATTCTAATCGATATTTAACTCGATCTTTTCGCCAAAACCAATTATTTAATCCCTAACACAACCTAAATGATATTTATTTGAGTCCCAAACTTTCCCAAAAAACCCCCATGGGTTGGCAAAAAAAAGTGAAAGGCAAATCGAAAAAAACACAATAAAAACAAAATCCAACTCAAATTGTCAATCAAAATGGCTTAACCCAAATGTAAGTAACTGCCGATTAAAAAAATGATAGTGTGTGCAAATAAATCGAAATAATCGATTGCACCACTTAGAGACTAATCGATGTTCGAAGGAAGTGTTTAGTTGGTTTGGTATCAATTTATTAAAACCATGTTATTAACTGTGGCAACTTAAGTTGATTGCATATCGATTAAATTGCTGCCTATTGTTGAAGCCTATTTTTGTTAACTTCCGATATATTTCTCGATATTTTATAGTGTGTTTCAAGATTCAAAATTCATTATTATTGTTGGCTAATTTGTATAACAAATAAACTCGTAAATTAAACAAAATTCTTTTGTCAGTTGTTTTGTTTGTTAATTTTATAGCTTTTTACTTTTTTTTTTAAATACCACTTTAGTTTAACCGTTTCAGTTCATATGATAACGATTACTCTTTGGTTTCCGCCTCATCACTGTCATAATCATGCCCATCATCCTAATTATGACCATTAGTTTGATCATTTAGGCTTAAAGGTCATATTCATTTAGCAAATTGAAGGACAAAAGCTGAAAAAGCCGAGGAGAGAAAAAAGATAGGGGGCGTGATCGTGAGCAGAGGTGTCGATGATAAAAGGGGGGAATTACTGTGAAAAATGGGCGGCTGATTGTTTTTGGCTTGATTTGCCTAAAAACCACTTTAACTTCCGTTTTCGCATGCAATTTGCCAGTTTTATTATTACTCATTGTCAGTTTGCATGTGACATGCAATAAAAACAACAACTGCTAAATCGAATTAGGAAATCATATTCAAATTGCATATTCGCTTCAAGCGTAGGAAAATTTGTGTTTTTCCTACCATTCAGCCATTTTCCATTCACAGTTTTCAATTGCAATTTTCCGGATATGATTTCTAACATGGTCGGAAATTCCATCTTTCTGTTATATTTAAATTTTTTTCGAGTAGCTCCCGAATTTGATATCTTATATCCGTTGCTATGCTGACGTCAGCATTTGCCTAATGTCCGAATAACGTCCCAAACGTGATTAGCGTCATTATCATTTATGTATATATATAAACTATACTATAATATCTCCCATCCGACGATCGGACCATAGGAAATTAACAAGTTGCGAGCAAAAACAATAAAACAAATAGATCGGCATCTGCTAATTTAATTTTTGCATTATATTTTTTATTGCGAAATAGCATTTTATTTGGCTAATTATCAGGTACCAAAGAATTAATGCGCACTTATAGCTCAGGATAGGAATAATATAGCTATAGATTTTTTCAGATAAGACGTGTATTGAATGGATCACTTAAATTGCAAAATGAATAATATTGTTCGATTTATTAGATACCAAGGCATGCATCATTGATAGACGATATTCCCAAGTGAAAAATAATTAAACATTCGTGTCTGGATTCCTAGAAAGAGGATCGTCTAACAATCGTTAATCCAAAACTGCACATTCCTGAAAATCCTCAGAAATCAATCAAGTAACAATTCGCATTTCTAAAGACTTTATTTACTCTTGATGAGGCAGACAGGAAATACGATCGAAGTGCTCCGATTCCCTAAGAGCCGCCTATCTGCGGGTATCGTAAACAGATTTTGTATATAGAGAAATGACACCAGAGTTTGCTTTTCGCATACCCAAAGGTGAAACCCAAACAGGAAGGGTGAAGAAATGCGAAGATCCGACGTGATATTCCCTGTTTTTGCTAAAATAACAACGAGGTCGGGGTTGTGGAAAAACCCATTGTTGTGCGCCCATTATATTGATGGTCATTCCAAAGGCCGTTCATTAAAGATAACTGATGTCGAGGCCGGTCATGTGTGATCCATGTGCTGTTGTGGGTTTGGCTTATATAATTCCCATTTTAATAACTGCACACAGCACGAGATGCAATCACTTGCACCCAAACGGAACCCTCGTGAGTCACTTTCGTTCGTCGCCAGCAAAATGTAAAATGTACGCTGCACACAGTCATGATCATCGAGAGATCCACGCTCTTATCGCTGGATTTTTGGTATGTTGTGACCGTAATCTCTGTGATTAATGGGGGATCGTCAGGCAAGAATGATTGCACAAATGTAGGTCAGTTATGAGGTAAGCACTGCGGATCTATAGGAAGGAGGACTACCCACACTAGAGTGTAATTCCGATTGATATACCCTTGTGGATTCACGGGCAGAACTGTTTACATGAATGCTTTTTTTTTGTCTAGATGTGATAGTAAGTGTATTATTGAAGGGTGGGTGAGTTCTATGTTTTTACTTATAAAAATCGCAAATGAATTAAAACAATCTAATGCGAATGACTAAGAAAAATAACACTTTTATTTAATTATAAAAGTAAAACGTAAAAAGAACTATATTTCGAGTTATAGATATATATTTACACAGACAATTGTCGATTTACCTATTTTATTTATTTAATTTAATTTGATATAGTCGTTCGATCTTAAGCATATGCTGTCTGCAATAATTTAGGTTAAAAACTAAGAGATTAGTATTTTGTTGATGTTTATATAAAGAATTTAAATACTTTTATAAATACTGCTTTACTGATGACTAAAATTATAATGCCCATGGGCTATGAAAATATGTTTATTAAATTTTGCCTAAGATTTAATGACAAAATATTGACACTTTTTATAAGCAATTTTTCTTAGTTACGGTACACACTTTGTTAGCTTGAGAGTACTGACCCTAAATCACAAAAAGTAAAGCTTAGACTAGAACTGTTTTCGTTAATTGCTAATTTCTTTCTCGTACTCTCTGTGACTTATACGATTCGGACTTACAATAATTCACCTGGTGATGTTTTTAAGCATTATATAGATTTACGGGGACTTTGTATGAAGAAAAAAACCGTGGCTTACGTAATTTTTGCGGTTAGGACTTGATTTATTTGTTCAGTTCTAATTAAACTGTTTTTAAGATTATTTATAGACGCTATTAACCACAGCTTGAGAAGTTTTCGTTGGGTTTGGGTTTGCTTTTTTTTTGTAAAGCCTTTAACTCTTGGTTTTTTGTTTGTTTTATACATGCAGGTATATGTTTTTATTGTAGCTTCTGTAAGTGGTTCAACTAAGTTAGAAGTTGTAATTAGGTGTAAAACACTTTTGGAGTTTACTATTTAAAAATGCCTAATTTTATATATTTTTTTATAATTTTTTAGCATGCACAAGCAGCCGATCTGGTGATTAATGTTCCAAATGCGAGCAGCAACGACAACGCCTTCTACAGGATAGACTACAGTCCGCCCTTCGGCTTCCCGGAGCCGAACACCACGATCCCGGCCAGCGAGATTGGCAAGGACATCAAGTTCTCGAGAGCTCTGCCGGGCACGGAGTACAACTTTTGGTTGTACTACACCAATTCCACGCATCAGGAGCTGCTCACCTGGACGGTGAACATAACGACAGGTGAGTTTTCTACCTAAAATAAAAAGAATATTTATTTACTTGATTTATTTAACCCCTCTGAAAAACAGCTCCCGATCCGCCGGCGAACCTGAGCGTTCAGCTGCGCTCCAGCAAGAGTGCCTTCATAACGTGGCGACCGCCGGGAACTGGTCGCTATTCGGGATTCCGGATCCGGGTGCTGGGCCTCACGGATCTGCCCTTCGAGCGAAGCTACTCGCTGGATGGCAACGAAACGCTGCAGCTGTCGGCCAAGGAACTCACTCCCGGGGGCAGCTATCAGGTTCAGGCCTACTCCGTCTATCAGGGCAAGGAATCGGTGGCCTATACGAGTCGCAATTTCACCACAAGTAAGTCGGGACAGAGGATTGGAACGCGCGGTCCGCACCGCAGGTGCAACTTCTAATCTGGAAGAATCAGAATATCCGCTAACTGCAACCCGTAATCCGTAATCCGGTGGTGATGGGCCATGACTAACATTTTTAACTCTATTTGTCTCTCGTGTCTCTCACTTTATATATATATAATGCTCTCAAGTCGTCGGGAATGTGAAAATCTGAGCAACCAGAAGGTAACCTTCTTTACACACCTCTACTAAATACCTAGAAACACAAGCTGTTCCCTAATTGTTGCTTTTTTATTAGTTATTTTGTTAATAAACGGTTGACATGACAGTTGATTAGTATCTAATTTGGTTGCTCTTTCATGCAGTGGCGCCCAACTCGAATTAAAAATTAATCAGACTAGGTAAATAGATGATAATAGTAGACTATTCTCCGCCATTGGTTCAAGACTTGGGGACCACTGTGTGGGGCGTGTCTTTCTTTGCGTTAAAGCTTTTACGTTTCTTATCCCTGAAAGTCAAAATAATGTAAATAATAGTAGTAAAAAATTCATTTATAATTGAAAACTGTACATATTTCTGAAAAAAATCGTTCGCTATTTATTTTATGCCCTTATTAACTTTTTTTTTGCTATGACTTTATATCTAAATTTATGTTTTCTAGTTATTTGTTTATATTTATAAATTTAGGCCTTGAATGGCAAGTGGTACCACTGCCTTCCGGTAGGTGGCGCCATGGCCAATTTTACAATTGATCAATAGAGTTAATTCTTGATCTAAATTTGGTTAGTTGAAAATCTAATAGTCGGGACACTCGACTATAGCGTACTCTCTTGTTTTTGTTTTAATAATACACAAAATATTATATTTTATAATATTTGGATTTTACTTTTATTTATTTTTATATGTAATTTTTTTTTTAAGATTAGATTGTACAAAACTAGTTTTTGAAATGTTTTTAAATCACTATTTTAATTTATCCCTAGACCCTGTATTGAATTAACTAACTCATCAACCTTGTGTTCTTAATTCTAATGCATATTAATTTACTAACCCCAATCGACTCACCTTAGTTGTTAGATTTAGATTTGCATTTATCCAACTCTCATTGCATCTTCGAATCCCTCTCTGCTCGCTGCATCTTCATTTTGCGCCTAGAACCCAACACTCCGGGCAAGTTCATCGTTTGGTTCCGGAACGAGACCACGCTGCTGGTGTTGTGGCAACCCCCCTTTCCGGCCGGAATCTACACGCACTACAGGGTCTCCATAACGCCGGACGATGCCATCCAGAGTGTTTTGTACGTGGAACGCGAGGGTGAGCCACCTGGACCGGCGCAGGCAGCCTTCAAGGGTCTCGTTCCCGGCAGGGAGTACAATATATCGGTGCAAACGGTTTCCGAGGATGAGACGTCATCGGTTCCGACCACAGCCCGATATCTGACCGTACCGGAACGTGTCCTCAATGTCACCTTCGACGAGACCTACACAACATCGAGTTCCTTTCGCGTGAGATGGGAACCACCGCGAACGTATAGCGAATTCGATGCCTACCAGGTGATGCTCTCGACGTCGAGAAGGATATTCAACGTTCCCCGCGCTGCGGAAGGCGAATCGGTTCACTTTGACTATCCCGATGTCTTGGAACCTGGTCGCAGCTACGAGGTGGTGGTCAAAACAATAGCGGATAACGTGAACTCCTGGCCAGCCAGCGGAGAGGTTACGTTGCGTCCACGACCCGTTCGCAGTCTGGGTGGATTCCTCGACGATCGCAGCAATGCTCTGCACATTTCCTGGGAGCCGGCGGAAACGGGGAAACAGGATGCCTACCGAATAAGGTGACTTATTTGATTTTATTTAATTTAAATGCATACTAAAATGGGTACTTTTCGTTTACTTTCTTAGCTACCACGAGCAGACGAACGCAAGTGAAGTGCCGGCTCTCTTTCCGGTTGCCAGTGAATCGCAAATTACCACGAATCTCACGGAATACACACTGGATTCCCTGCTGGCGGGACGCCGTTACCTAATTGCCGTGCAAGCCCTGTCCAAAGGAGTGGCCTCCAATGCCAGCGACATCACGCGATACACACGTCCGGCGGCGCCACTTATCCAGGAACTCAAGAGCATCGATCACGGACTAATGCTCAGCTGGCGCAGTGATGTGAACTCTCGCCAGGATCGCTACGAGGTGCACTACCAGCGAAATGGAACGCGCGAGGAGCGCACAATGGCCACCAATGAGACGAGCCTGACGATCCACTACCTGCATCCCGGTTCCGGTTACGAGGTGAAGGTGCACGCCATTAGCCACGGCGTCCGGAGCGAACCGCACTCCTACTTTCAGGCAGTTTGTAAGTGCATTAAATATCTTTTAATAACTATTGAAAACCCCAAGCTGAATTTACGTCAGCAAGCAAATACCTAGAATGTGATTTCGCATGGCAACGATTGATAAAATATGCCACAATCCTGTTAAATATGAATTCAATTATTTTATGGGGCTCTTAAGCTCCTAATGAGTAAACAGGCTGAACAGGTTGTGGTGTGCTATTCATTTGTCATATTTTAGTTTTTATCTTAATGCTAGCTTTTTAATTTTCCACGTTTGGTCTTGAGTCAAACTTATACCAAAAGCGCAGATCCCAATTTTTCACAAAAAATAATTAATTTTTTGACCTTAATAATGGAAATATTGATTAAAATATGGATTGTCATACCTTTCTGAACTCGTTATTAAATTTCCTAACGATTGGCATTTAAACCTTGACATTTTATTTATTTTTAATTTTTCGCAAAAAATCGTGGGGTATCCCCTTACAAAAAAATTTAAATTTGGCGAAAATTTTATTTTTCCAAAATCACACGGAAAGTGTTATGGATGTATTTATAATTTTGTTATCTGTTCAAAACAGTAAACATTTTTGGTGTAGGACCATTTTTGACCAAGTTACAGAAAAAAAACCAACAGAAAAAATGCAAATTTTTTCCAAAAACTGAAGTCTCGAGTTTCAAAAAAAAAAAAAAACCAAATGGGTCTTTCCCTGAGACAAAGCAGTTTTTCCCTAAAACAAAGGAAATACTGATTCAAAGTATGGATTCTCAAACCTTTCTGAACCCGTTATTACATTTCTAATGGATTAGCATTTAAACCTGGACTTTTTATTTTTTTTGTCATTTTTCGCAAAATATCATAAAATAACATTTTTTTTAGCAACGATCTTAAAATTAATGGAAAAATAATAGTAACTAAATGATTGCTTCGTTGGCTATATATTTTTTGAAATTAAAATTAATGGAAAAATAATAGTAACTAAATGATTGCTTCGTTGGCTATATATTTTTTGAAATGTACTAAATGTTATACATTTCTTTTTCACAGTTCCCAAACCGCCGCAGAATCTCACGCTGCAGACGGTGCACACGAACCTGGTGGTGCTCCGTTGGCAGCCGCCGGAGGGCAGCGACTTCAGCGAGTACGTGGTGCGCTATCGCACGGACGCCTCTCCCTGGCAGCGGATCTCCGGGCTGCACGAGAACGAGGCCCGGATCGAGGACATGCACTACGGCGAACGCTACCTGGTGCAGGTGAACACCGTGAGCTTCGGCATCGAGAGTCCCCATCCCCTGGAGCTGAATGTGACCATGCCGCCGCAGCCGGTTTCGAATGTGGTGCCGTTGGTGGACTCGCGCAATCTCACCCTCGAATGGCCGAGACCCGATGGTCATGTGGACTTCTACACACTCAAGTGGTGGCCCACCGACGAAGCGGAGCGAGTGGAATTCAAGAATGTCAGTCAGCTGGAGGATCGTGAGTATTTAGCCGATTCCTTGCCTGGTTGTGTATCTAAACGAATTTTATCTTCACTCCATTTAGTGAGCTCCCCCAGCGTTCGGATTCCCATTGAAGAGCTGTCGCCGGGTCGTCAGTATCGCTTTGAGGTGCAGGCCAGCTCGAATGGCATCCGTTCCGGGACCACTCATCTCTCCACTCGCACCATGCCACTCATTCAATCCGATGTGTTTATCGCCAATGCGGGACACGAACAGGGTCAGGATGAAACAATAACCCTAAGCTACACACCCACGCCGGCGGACAGCACTCGGTTCGATATCTACCGCTTCTCGATGGGCGATCCCAAGATCAAGGACAAGGAGAAGCTGGCCAACGATACGGAACGCAAGCTGAGCTTCTCGGGCCTGACGCCCGGCAAGCTGTACAACGTTACCGTTTGGACGGTGAGCGGAGGAGTGGCCAGTTTGCCGGTCCAACGGCTGTATCGTCTGCATCCACTGCCCATCAATGATTTGCGGGCTCTCCAGGTGGCTGCTCGTGAGATAACCTTGCATTGGGAGGCTCCAGCTGGGGAATACACCGATTTTGAACTGCAGTACCTTAGTGCCGACGAGGAGGCACCGCAACTGCTCCAGAATGTGACCAAGAAGACGGAGATTTCGCTGCAGAACCTGCGTCCGTATCACAATTACACATTCACCGTGGTGGTGCGAGCTGGTTCCACTCCAAGTACCGATTCCGATGTCTCCGGCAGCACCCTAATGCGCAGCAGTGCTCCCATCTCGGCCAGCTATCAAACGTTGGCTGCTCCACCTGGAAAAGTGGACTACTTCCAGCCGAGCGACGTGCAGCCCGGCGAGGTGACCTTCGAGTGGATTCTGGAGGCGGGCGAACAGCACGGACCCATTGATAACTTTCGCATCACCTGTCAGAATGCCGACGATGCAGCGGATGTGGCAAGCTTCGAATTCCCGGCGAATGCGACGCAGGGCAGGATTAGTGGCCTAGTGCCCGGCAATCAGTACACATTCCGCATACAAGCCAAGTCTGCCTTGGGCTTTGGTGCCGAAAGGGAGCACATACAAGTAATGCCCATACTAGCGCCGCCTGTTCCGGAACCCAGTGTCACGCCGCTGGAGGTCAGCAGAACGAGCAGCACCATCGAGATTAGCTTCAGGCAGGGCTACTTCTCCAATGCCCACGGCATGGTCAGATCCTACACGATAATCATAGCCGAGGATGTGGGCAAGAATGCGTCGGGCCTGGAGATGCCCAGCTGGCAGGATGTGCAGGCATATACCGTGTGGTTGCCCTACCAGGCCATCGAGCCATATAATCCCTTCTTCACCAGCAATGGCAGTCGGCGGAACGCGCTGGAGGCGGAGCACTTTACGATAGGATCGTCCAGTTGCGAGAAACATCAGACGGGCTATTGCAATGGTCCGCTAAGGGCTGGGACCACCTACAGGATCAAGGTGCGTGCCTTTACGGACGAGGATAAGTTCACGGACACGGCCTACAGTTCACCGATAACCACCGAACGCAGTGATACCGTGATTGTGGCCGCCACCATGGCGGCTGTGTTGCTGGTGGCCATGGTGCTGCTGGTGGTCTACTGCCAGCACCGCTGCCAACTGATCCGCCGCGCCTCCAAGTTGGCCCGCATGCAGGACGAGCTGGCCGCCCTGCCCGAGGGCTATGTCACGCCCAATCGGCCGGTGCATGTGAAGGATTTCGCCGAGCACTACAGACTCATGTCGGCCGATTCGGACTTCCGTTTCAGCGAGGAGTTCGAGGAGCTGAAGCATGTGGGCCGCGATCAGGCCTGCAGCTTCGCCAATCTGCCCTGCAATCGGCCGAAGAATCGATTCACCAACATCCTGCCCTACGATCACTCGCGCTTCAAGCTGCAGCCCGTGGACGATGACGATGGTTCGGATTATATTAACGCCAACTATATGCCGGGACACAATTCGCCGCGCGAGTTCATCGTCACCCAGGGCCCGTTGCATTCGACGCGCGAGGAGTTCTGGCGGATGTGCTGGGAGAGCAACTCGCGGGCCATCGTTATGCTGACGCGGTGCTTCGAGAAGGGTCGCGAGAAGTGCGATCAGTACTGGCCCGTGGATCGGGTGGCCATGTTCTACGGGGACATTAAGGTGCAGTTGATTATCGACACGCATTTCCACGACTGGAGCATATCGGAGTTTATGGTCTCAAGGGTGAGTTAATTAAGATTGTTAAATTTGTAGCTCTTTTTTTATTCACTCGTCTTTTTTTCAGAACTGCGAGTCGCGAATAATGCGGCACTTCCACTTCACCACATGGCCGGACTTTGGAGTTCCCGAGCCGCCGCAATCGCTGGTGCGCTTCGTGCGCGCCTTCCGCGATGTCATCGGCACGGATATGCGGCCCATTATCGTCCATTGCAGCGCCGGAGTGGGCAGATCGGGCACATTCATAGCCCTGGATCGCATCCTGCAGCACATTCACAAGTCGGACTATGTGGACATCTTTGGCATCGTGTTTGCCATGCGAAAAGGTGCTATATTATTTATTTGTTGAGCCCTACTAATTGTCCCTATTTGCAGAGCGCGTCTTCATGGTGCAGACGGAACAGCAGTACGTGTGCATCCATCAGTGTTTGCTGGCAGTGCTCGAGGGCAAGGAGCATCTGCTGGCCGATTCGCTGGAGCTGCATGCCAATGATGGCTACGAAGGTGAGTTGAAGGGATACTTTTGCTCCAGTCAGAATCATCCCAACTCTCCCTTGTCCCCCCGCACACCTATTCTTTCTGATTTTTCCCTTTTTTTCACTCACTTTTCGGATTAAGTTTATTTTAATTACAATCTCTTGCCGATTAACTAATCTTTTTGAAAAACACACAACCTGGATGAGGGCTGATCTATAATTTTTATTTTGGTGTTTGTTCATATTGATTTCCTTTGGCTGCGGTTCCCCTAGGTTTTTCTATTAATTTCATTGAGATTGTAACTAACCATATATTTTTTGAATAATTTATTTTCTTCTTTCTTTTCACAATTATACATAAACACCCATCACACAATTAAAACACAATTGTATATCAAACAAAAAACGCCTAACCTACACATTTTCATATGCTTCTATTTCTGCAAAACCAAATTGAAAAAAAAAACGAAAACCAAAACCAAAATCCAATCAAAAACCCCGAAAAAAACCCACAAAAAAGTGACTAAAATTTACTTAGAGCGCCAGCCGCAAACGAAAATGGGAACCTTGCCCATTCGAGCTTCTTTGGCCAGGGCCGAGGAACTGGATGCGGATTTAATGGCCGACAAGGATCTGGAGCAGCAGCAGCAGCAGGCGGAGGCCAAGGATGAGAATGATGAAGAGGATGAGGACGAGGAGGATGATGACCAGCAGCCGTTGAACAATGAAACGACTGCCACCTTGTCATCGGCCAGCTGCAGCAGCAGCAGTCAGGATGTGCATGTGGATCTCAAGGATCTCCAGGCCAAAGAACACCCCAAGCAAGAGAAGGAGAGCAGGAAAATCTGCAGCGGCACAAAATCCCATTCAGACACCGAAAGTGACTCAGAGGATGAGGATGAGGAGGGGCCGGTGACCAAGGATGGGGCTGTCACCGATGAGGATGGCTGGTGGTATTGATAGAAAAGTCGACTTTTTTCTAGGTTTGTACCCACAAAACAACACAACAACACAGACCCAAATTTTATGTTCCATATCCAAATGACTTGCTTTAACTCGCTTTTACCCCCGACTAAAAACAAACACGAAATTCTAACCGCACTGGCAAAGTAACTAACATTGACACATGAACGGGTTACACGGTTACGGGTTAAGAACAACACATTAGATATTCAACCAAAATCAAAAAGAGAGAAAAATTCAAAACCCATTAGCCTGTCTTAGTTAATGTGTTATGTTCGATTGCATTCGATTCGATTTTTGAGCATTTTTGTAAATCATTTTCGCACTTTTCCAGATGACGAGGGCATTGCTGAGACGGGAATCTGAGGATGCTTGCTGCGGGAATATCTACACATGATATATAGTACCTATAGTTATTTTTTTTACATATACTGTACGTAAAATCTGCCTGTGATGTGCTGGATGTGATTTGTCTACGAAATGGCACTCGGAGTTGCTGTCAAATGAGTTGAGTTTGTGGCCCTCATCCCGCCGCAACTGCCAGCCAAATCATCTGTCGACTGGTGGAGATGATGGTGGGATGAAGGCCCCGCGTTTTGGCCTGTGCCATTTATGCGTGTACGTCGTACCGCCTGTTTGCCATAGAGCTAAGCTAGCTAGCCCGCTTATTTAATGTAATGCCGCCAAATTAGACCAAACCAACAAGAGCGTAAACTTAAGCTTCAGGTGTAATAATCTATTACCTAATTTTGTATCTATTCCTGTACCTATTATCTATTACCTTTTGTTCTGTCGTGTTGTGTATAGATTTGTACATTTGTTTCCATTTAGTGTGCGCGTCGATCGATATTATGACTATGCTTACTATTACTATTATTAATATTACTATTACTCTTAACGATTGTGTATTATTTTTATTATTATTATATAGTTTAGTTATGTTTTATCGATAGACTTTAGTCCATTATTAGTCAGCGAAATGTTGGCTCTAACTGCATGCAAACCTTCCATTTGCTTTGGGGCCATCCATGTCTTGAAACAAATACGAGATTCCATTGTATCCGGCCAAAGCAGCAATAGCAATTGTAACATTGTGCAGTTAAAGTTATAAGCATTTATTTTATTGTATTTAATTATTTTATTTTTTTAAATGTGCATCTACACAAGATCAATAAATTTATATTGAAAACATGAACAAACGAAAAAGGTGTGTACAAAAATTTACTGATAGAAGGTTGGAATATGTTGGCCATTCTGGGAAGTATTTACTTTTTTTTCATTACAATTTTTAAATTAAAAAAATATTTTTAATTTTTTTAAAAAACTCTTCTACATACTGCATAATTTTTGTTGCTTAAATTTAATTTGGCAAGAGTTTGTGGAAAGATCAGCCTAAAAGTAGACTTATTTAGTATCTAGAATCCCACTTTAAAATCTTCTTTAAGTTGCTTGGGTTATCAGCTTCAGTTTTTTTGGGGCCTAATTAAAAAGAATAATACCAATCAATAAATACCTAGAACGTATGGAAACCATAGAGAAAAAGGTATAGTTTTTCATTACAAATTTCAAATGCGTTTTGACCGCAAACGAGCTTTCTCCTTAACAAGTCGTCTAGTAAATAAATAAAATATTCTTTTAATTGTGATCCGATTTCGATGGGATTTCGAAATTTCCCAGCACCATTACAAGAGCAGCAGAGACAGACAGGCGGGCATTTAAACCATCTTAATGGTCTGAGCAGGCCAAATACAGCGAAAATCATCGGAGCAATTATAAGGCATCTAAATGTTGGTCCAATGACGACGAGGAGTTGCAGTTGCAAACTGCTGGTTGCTGGCTGCTGTTTGCTTTTGATCCGAGTGCAACAAGTTCCAGGAAGAGGAAGACGAGGATCGGATCGGATCGGGAGAGCCAGATCATCATGATCACTATATGATGACGCTGATCGTGTATGTCAGTGCGAGTCGGCATTCGTTTAAACAAATAAAGCTCGCGACTAATTGCATTTGCACTTGTTGTGCGATATTTCTTTGCTGGAAATTACACACGGCCACAGTGGATGGAATACGAAAGAGCTGCAGCCGGGATATCTGTGTTCTCTTTGGTTAAAGATGGGTACTGAGCACAGTTTAAGACACGTCATTTGTCATTTATCTTTCGTGGCCTTTTAGCGTTTGGCTTAATTGACTTCTTCTCCATCATCGTAGCAATAGCTGCAGCGAAAAACCAAAAACGTACCAAGGAAAGAACATGGAGAAAAATTGAATTTTTTTGGTCATTTTATAAGATTTTACTTTATAGATCTATAGATTTTAATATGTTATCTAATATTTAGTTTTAATCTTAGCTGGTTTCTAACGAAATGAATTATAAAGGTGTGTAAAATTGGTCTCCAATATCTTTCTTAATCTTTAATATTCCGAATTAGGACTTTCTTTATTTTGTAATGTTCTATAAGAAGAAGAGAAATATTCTAAATAGCTAAATAAATATGATTTGTTTTCTGTGTAGCAACTTTTCCTGAAGCCTTAGCTAAAAGTCTGTGGCGGAGTTTTGGTCTCATCATCTCTCGGCTTCTCATCGCTTCGCCTTGTCTTATGGTCAATACCAATTGACCGTAGTGCGGAACATTTAGCTTCATTACGTCGGGCCATGTTTGCTGCCTTGGCCATCATCGCACTGCAGAACCGTTTTAATTAGATGTAACCATAATAAATCATAGGAGAGCCAAAATCAAATTCAGCCAGGAATGCAGCCGCATCGAAAGGGAATTTCCAGGTTGCCAACTTGGGTCCTTAGGTAGAAAAAAAAATACAGTGGAGCCTCTACAGGAAGTACATTTAATATTTTAAATATTTTAATTGAAAATCGAAACAGGTAAATATCAAATTGGTCGTTATAAATATTCTCATCCTTAAAGTTCTTTAATCCGATTTCCTTTTGATAATCTTGCCAAACGATTTATCACTTGTTAAATTAAATTCACGTGGGATTTTATTCTACTTATCCCTATTTAAAGCTAATCAAGTTCGAAGCATGTGAATATAATATGTAAGAGCTAGTGCAACACAAAAACATGGACTTTGGGTCTGTAGCCATTCCGTCTTGATCATTTTTCAGTTCCCATACCAAAGAGTGATGTTCTATTGACATGCAAGTTGGCAGTTTTGGCCGGGCCATAAAGTTCTGGCTGGCAAATGAGGTTTTGCTGCCCACCCTCAAAGCCTGGCGGCCTTTGAGAAGTTGTTTCGTGTTGTTCTGGCCTCGGTTCCTTGGTTATTCGGTTCCCCAACTACGGCTGATGTGTTCAATCCAATGGATTATTGTCTACCCTCGGTTCTTCGGTTCTTTGGTTCTTCGGCTCCTTGGTTCTTTGCCAGCCGATCTATTAGAGCTATTCCAGAGCTGGACTTAACCCACATTGTGGCCATTAAAAAGCCATTCCCCATTTGCCGAGGATGGCCATTTGACAACGCCCGGTGCGAAATGCAAAATGCAAATTGCACTGGCAATTGCCACGCTTCATAGCTCAGACATCACCCACTGCATTTGCCACATCTTAGATAAGTGCATTGTGCATTGCATGCAATTTGGTTGCATGTATTGCCGGCACAGCAGCAACAGCAGCAACATGCAACTGGCAGCGGGCAACAGCAAACCCTGCAACTTTGCCTTGCTCTTGGTCTTGAACTTGTGAATTTGCTAGACAACAAGCCAAAAACCAGGAGAAGCAGCCACCATCGGCAGCAACAACTGCCAGCAGCAATCAGCGGCAAGTGAATGAGCTTAAATTGTCCAAGGCACTGTGGGCAGGAACGTTGATTTACTGGAGAAAATTCTATCATTGCTTCTTTTAAACTTGCTGCCTGAAAAATGAAATGTTCGCCACTGCTTTGAAGAAATTGTTTCTAAAATCGCATCTAATACGTCTGAAAGATATTTTAAAATTTTTTAACCAACGACCCCAAAAAAAATTGATCTGAAACGATGATAATGCGGCGTATCAATTTGATATGATCGAAATGTAAACAACATGTTCTAAGCAGGCCAGTTTGAATTTCGAATGTGTATTTCTTTCTTCCTATTTTTCGCTCTATTTTGAATTGAGAGAATTTGTTCTTCTCGCTCCCACTATCTTAATTTAAATACAGTCAGTGCATCTCAAAAAATGATATTATTTATTATCAATTTTAGCAGCATTGCATAGTATATAAACAATATGCGTATAATTACTAGAAATTTACCATGCGCATATCGATTTGTCCCGGCGTGATTCCTTTGTGTGTATCCAAAATTGTATCACTTTTGAGTAATAATTAAATATATTTGCCCACTGTGCAATCGCTAGAGGCAGTTGATTTTCGTTCGGTTTTGGTGGTGGCCATGATGATGGCTTCGCTGGCTGATTCTGCAACCCATCAGCCCATCGCCCCCCTTGCCACTCTCCACCTCCCCCTGGGCCCCCCTGGATGGCATGTTGCTGCCTCAACGCCCTCAGTACGTTATTATATATGCATAATATGTGCTATATGTGTGTGTTACCATTGCTGTTGCTGTTGCTGTTGCTGCTGTCTGGTCGTCTGTGGAGCATCAAGGCACTGGGGCAGCGAGGCATCAAGTTCGCAATGGGCGACATGAGATGGCCAACACACACACAAAAGCAAAAGAGCAACCGCAGTTACTTTTGGCCAAGTCTGCATAGACAAGCCTCAATTAAGTTGCAATTGCAGTTGTTGCTGCTAAAGTTGCTCATGTTGCTGCTGTTGTTGCTGCAGTTGCTGCTGCTGCTGCGACTGATGTTGCTGCCGGGGAAGCGTTGGCGGCATCGGAATTCCACTCTGGAGCTGCCCACGCGCGCGCTGCTCGGCTGCCTGTTTTGCTGATAAAGTCCGAAATGATGTACTACCCATGTGCTGGTGGCTCATTTTGGTTTTCTTTTCTTCTGTTTTCTGTTTTACATTTTCTTTCTGTCGGTTCCAGCACAGGAGCGCACTTTGCGATGGAGGTCAAAAGTCAAGTTCAAAAAGAAACCTGATATGAAACGATGATCAATTTGATATTATGTGGTATCAATTTTGACTTGATATGCGGCATATCAATTCGAACTTAGTAGGCTAGTTTCGAATGTGTCTTTCTATCTACCACTATTGAGCATAAACTTTTGCCATAAATTGTACAGTTCAGCTCAATATGCCTTAAGAAATACTAAAAGAGTATTTCATGTAAAAACGACATGGGTTTCGAATGACCTGAAATTTACATGGCCATATTGATTTTACGGGAACATCCTTTTGTTCGAATATAAAAAAGAAACACAATTTCAAGCATTTCAAATTAACATTTTTTGTTTTATTTTTAATAATTTTGGTTAAAAAAAGATTCAAAATAGGTAGAATAATCACTGCTTTTTCATTTGTTGTACGGATCAATACTTAATGAATTTCCTATAATATTTATCGTAATTTTCCTCGTATCAGAAAGATACGTCACCGTTTTCCCGGTGAATCTGATAATTGTATATTGATTTCTAATCGTTCCTCTCATTGTATCATAGCTATCGCAACTTCTTCATATTATTTCCCCTTAACTTTTGAACCAGGATTCCTGGCGACGGTAAAGACCTCGGCCACCTCGGTGACCAATTGGGATTCGCGCGGCGTGGGCCCCATTTGGACACCCATTTTGCGGGCCTTCATCTTGATCTCGTCGAGTCGCCCATCGATTCCGGCGCAGATCTGTTCGCTGAGGAGCTTCAGCTCGGCGACCTCGTAGCGAAAGTCGTTGATGTGCCGACTGAGGAGGGCCTGTCGCAGATATCGACGGCTGTAGCGGAAGCCGCTGGACATGTTCGTCTTGGTCACGAGCAGGGCCATCTTCTTGGTCAGCTTGACGGCGGCCAGGGATCGATGGCGATGCTGGCAGTTGCTCAAATCATTGGCCGACTCCTGAGTCCAGTCCAAATGCACCAGGTTGTGGCGGCGAATGTCGGCGATCTTCTGCTCCAGACAGGCCCACTCTTGGCTCAAAGTGCGCAACATGTCCCGGAATCCATTGTAGCGGCACAGCAGCTCGGTGATCTGACACTGAATGTGGTGCTGGGCCCGCTGAATGCACCGAATCTCCGAGTGCTTCGTGGTTAGTCCACCACAGGAGACCTGCTCCTCCTCCGTTTCCTCCTCCTCCGTCCGATCGGTGCTCTTCTCCAGCTGCTGATGCCTTCGGATCTGGCTCTGCATTATATCGATTCGTTTGAGTATCTGATCTAGACCATGAATGGCATTCAGCGTTTTCGACTCCTCGTCCGAGGTCAGCCCTTCCTCCTCGACCCGAAGTCCAAAGGGCAGCAGCTCCGTCTCCTCCTCCTGGGAATCCGTCTCCTCGGCCACGGCGGTGGTCGGTTGCTCCCACGTGGTCCTCTGGCTGACCATCGAAATCAGCCGCGGACTCGTCAAGTGACATCTGGTGGTCGTTCGCGCTATCACATCAATGTCCGCCAAGTTGGTCTTGTGACAATCGCCCAGTTCGCCCAGCAGATCCAGCTCCTCGTTGAGCAAATAGTCCTGCTGATCCCCCGCACTCGGATCCATCAGCGTTAGCTTCTCCATCCTGCCGTCGATCTCTGCGCGGATCTCTCGAAAATCTCTCTGGACTTGGGGCTGAATTTATGGGGTACAAAATGTGTGTGCAAGCTTAGAAGATATAAATAAAGTAAGTTTGATTGCCAAGGACGCCTACTGTAATGAAAAAGTTATGTAAAAGGAAATAGAAATCACGAATCATATTTAAAAATCTTTTATTTTATTTTATATAAAAATTAAAACATAACAGTTACCCTCTGATTTTTATTTGTAAGAACCCTTTTTGAACGGTTTTTATTAAAAGTTATTTATTAAAAATCCTAACCCAATATCTTTTGAGAAATGCGGTATAAAATAAAATGGAAAAGAAGTCTTGAACTAAAGACCAATACTTTTCATGTATTACACTATTATTATAACGAAATATTTATAAAAAATACTGATGTAAGGGTGTATGAAAAGTATTTATCCGAAGATCAGAAGTGCCTTTTCGTTTTTTAATGATAATGATTTTTTATTCATTGTTTTTATAAATAAAATTCAGAGAATAACTGTTAAATTGTTGATTATTATTTTAAGAAATGTAACCGTTGCGGTCCCTAAATTTTTATGGTGACTTCAAACCTTAGTTATACTTAGTTTCTACGTTTGGCTCAACTCCGATCCGCTCCTGTCTTTTTGACTTTGCGCTGATAAGAAAATTTATGGTTGCCCAGTTGCTCTGGCGGCATAATTGCGCACCCACATTCAGAGCCCCACATCGAAATCCCCAGAAATCCCCACAAACATCCACTCCACATGAAGTCCGGCAGCAGAAAACGAGCAGCAAAAACAAAAGAGACGAGAAGAAAAAAAGGGGGGGCGGTGGAGAAGAGTCTTGTGGGCTGGCTTTTGGCGTGTGGCTTCATCGCCAATTCTTCTAGTCAGTACTCCCCCTTTCTTCCCCCGCATCCCCCGCCATGTTGGCCCTCCAGTATTGCCGGCAGTTGACTTTGTTTACCCGCAAGTTGTAATTTTCTTGCGAAAACCGTCAGCCGCAGAATTGCTTTTCTCCATCTCCATCTCGCCAGCTAAGTCTTCTGTCTCTGATAAATCCCGCTTCTGTCTGTCTTCGGCTCCCTGCCACTGCTCTTCGCCCCTTTCTTCTGCATCTCTACGCTACTCTTCCCCTTTCTTCCCCATTTTCTTCTCCTTTCTCCAATTGCAATTGGTGCCCCCAACTGCGGTCTTGCGGTGATCTTTCTTCTGGGCTTTTTGCCTTGCTAATTGCTTGCCAGAGATTCGGGCCTCTACTTAGGACATCATCCCAAACCCATTCGAGGCAGAAAACAAAATCATAGCACCCATATTTTTACTTCATCTATAAAATGTATATATATCTAAAAATTTAATGTTTTTCTGAAGAATATTTTAAAGTTTTTAAGACAATTTCTGAAATTAAAATCATGAAAACATTATAATTATATATATAAAATATATGTGCAAGTTATGTTCAGTGTTTTTCACGTAACATCGGCGATTGACAGGCTTTTAGCCAACTTTGCTATTCCATTTGGAGCCATCTCGCTATTGAGGCATCTGTTGAATGCTGAATTGTCACATGCGGAATTTCGCAGGTCTCTAAGAAAACGTTTAAGCATGTGAGCTGCGATAGGATACGAAAGCCCAAGAATGGGGTCAGGTTATACAAATACCAAGTGAAGCCTGGAAGGCATAGCAAAAACATAAACGTAACATAAATATATAAACTTAAGATTGGAATATTAAACGATAGATCTTGAAATATTCAAAGGTAAAATAAGGGCTTTTTTCCCATTATCTATACAATAATGTGTTTTATTTTATATGCATTTCATGGGTGAAAAAGCGAGTTAGAAGGGAGTGTGAAGAAGAGTCTGGGAGAGCCGCGAACTGTACCGCTAAGATGCCTAATTACATCCAAGACGAGTGATGACCGATGATGGCCATAAAAGTTCACATGATCCGCTGATCTTCTGATCTCCCGATCTCCCGATCTCCCGGAGGCCTTGGTCATGCAGGAAGTTCAAGTGCTCGAGAATACGAGTAAGAAGAATACGATCCATACATTCAGACATTCATATATTCCGACTTGAGTTGGCCCAAGTTGACTTGACTCGACTTGGCCCGGTCAAATCTTCGTGGCTTCGGTAGCAAAAATCAGCAGCGCCAGCAGAAGACTCCGACTAAGATAAGTGATCATAAAATAATAATAATAAAAAAAAAATATACAGACACAGAAAACAACCGAAAGAAAACGAGTAGCGAATAATGCAATATACATTAGATATAGAACAAGTCAATAGAAAATTACGATTTATGTAACAAGTCGAGGAATTCAAGTGCATTTATTTCCGCATCTGGAACTAAGTGGAGAAGCGAGCGCATAAAAAATAATGCTGCACTGCTGATTGGTCGACGTGGTGATATCCTGTAGGGATTATATTAAGTAAAAACGCAGGAGTTTTAAAAATACCTGGAAATATTATTCCTTTAATACACATTTTTCACATCTTTACTATCTAAATGTGAGGTTTTCCGAACAGAACAAATATACCCTTCAAAACGCCAGACGAGGGGTAAACTGCCGATCAAAAGCGAGGCAAAGAAAGCGATTTTCCGACGTTCAGTTCGCTTGGGGGAGTGGGGAACCAGTGGGGTTCAGGATCAGATTGGATCGGATTGGTGCAGTGCATCCATCAGAGTAGCGCCGTGAGTCAGTCAGTCACCCATTCAGTCAGTTGGTCAGTTAGTCAGTTATTAAATGTGGCCATAAGAAATAGAAACAACACCAGACAAAGACGGATGAAAACGGGGGGTTTCAGGGAGTTATTACATAACAGCGGGCACAATCGCGAATGGGAATGTTGTGTGTGTGTGCAAAAAGAGGGAAAGAGAGGTGGACTTGTAAAAATCATAGCGCTGCTAAAGCGTAAAGGCAAAGAATTATAATTTTCCAATCAACTGATAAATTTTTAATGATGCGACAGAGGCCAGATGGGTATGGGTATGGGTATGGGGATCTCTAATATGTTGTCCAAAGTGCATGCTGGAATCCCACCGCGATGGTGATGATCATGATCATTGCCAGTCGCCGGTAGATGGCTGCTAATGTTCATAGGATAGTCGCTTGGACATGTGTAAGAAACATTCCCATAGGTGTGATTGCTGGCGCGCAAGAACAAGTAAGACACCAAATTACTGTTACCCAGACATGTCCACATGGGCGGGTGGAAAATCCAATCGGGGAGGACGGGCGGTGGGGTCGGTGAAAATCGGTGGAAAAAGAGGCGCCGCAAATTCACTTTGGTGACGAGTGACTAGTGACGAGTGCCATTGGCACTGGACCAAAAAGTGGTTTCGTGATCGATGCGGTCTTTTGATGCCCCTGACTAGCTTGATTGCCAGCCCCTCTCACTCGCCTCAACCCTCCAATTTTTACTGGATTTTCCTCGCTTTTCTGCCGCAGATTTCCCATGCAAATATCCCCCCACATCTCATGATGAAGTTGTCCATCTACCGCCGACTTAAGCAGCAACTTCAAAGCTTTGCCATTTGTAAAGTGCTCAATCAACGAATGGACGTAATAAAATACCATATAGATAAGGATTTCGATTCCTTGAACAAGTTTGAAGTAGTATTTATACAGGATCTAAATATTAGTGTAACATTAATTACATTTCGGTTGAAATATCGATCCTAATATGGATTGTTATACTTTTCTGAAGTCGTTATTAAATTTACCCCCGATGTACCCCCTTATAAAAAAATTAAAAATTGTCGAAAATTTTATTTTTCCAAAATCACACGGAAAGTGTTATGGATTTATTGATAATTTTGTTATCTGTTCAAAACAGTATGTATTTTTGGTGTACGACCATTTTTGGCCAAGTTACAGCAAATTTTTGTCAAAAACTGAAATTCCGAATTTCCAAAGCAGTTTTTTCGCTAAAACAAAGCAAATACTTATTCAAAGTATGGATTGTCATACGTTTCTGAACTCGTTATTAAATTTCGAATCGATTGGCATTTAAACCTGGACAATTTTATTTTTTAAATTTTTTGCAATAAATCATGAGGTACAGCCTTTGATTCTTTGGCTCTGTAATTTCGTCGAAGTTTTACCTACTGTCCAATCCCTCAGTTGGCCATGGGAGAATTCGCATTTTGGCAACCGATCGATTGTGACCGTTATTTAATAAGGAAATTTTATCAGGCAAAAGGGGAGGATTGGGGGTTTTTGGCCAGACTCAGGTGGCAATGTGTCCATGTCCATGTCCATGTCTCAGTCGAAAGGCGCCAAAAGCTCGCAACGTTTTTCATTTCGTGCCCGCAGCCGTTGCACGCATACAAATTACGAATGCAAATGCGAAATCGCAGACCCAAGTCTTTCAGTCCCGCCTTACCCCTTTTGGGATTCCCCGTCTTTGGCCCCTTGTGGAAGCCCCAAGGAAAAGGCGGATCGAATGGCCAGCAAATTGTTCGCACGCTTCGCTCCCAGGTAAAAAAATACAAGAAATACAAAAAATACATCCAAGAGAGGGTCTTCTAGTTAATGCGTTTGGGATTTTCGCGCATTTTCTTTTATTTTTCAATTACGACGTGGTCGAAGTGAGACAAAGCCAACAAACACGGATACCCACAAAGTTATCTAAAGTGTGCACAACAAAAAAATTTTGAAAAGAAAAATATGTTTTCAATAAAGTAATTTTCTGAAATAATAAACGAAATATTTAGATTTTGGCTTTAAAGTAATGTAACATTTTTTTATGTTTTATTTTTTTAATATATGTATATATTTTTGTCTATTTTTTTCTCACTGTGCATGTATCGAAGAACGATCGTGGTTCGAACCAAAGCCAATAAAAAGTTGATCGTCGCTGCTTAGCCACATCTCGTTTTTTTCTGCTTTTTCTCCCCATCTCACTTACTTCTTCACTGATCATCGCAGTTTGTCAATTAATTGATTGCATTCTCCGCAATTGCTTGGCTAACAATAATAACTGTCGTATTTGCGCTTAAATATGTGCATCTCTTTGGCCCTCCCCCCATCATTGTGATCTGGCGATCTGCGATCCGAACTGAAAGAGCCGAGGAAAGATCGTTGTGCGATCCATGTAA